ATTTTTAGAATATTTAAAAAATAACTTTAATTTTACCTCTTAGAATATTAATTCACGGCATGTGATGTATAGTTGTGCTTTGTCAGCGGAACCCTGCGGTGACGTGAAGGTAGATTCAACTTCAAAAGCAATTAGTTGAGTACAAACAGCTTAGTGTTGTCAGAGCGTTAATAATAACCCACTGTTGTCTTGGGCTTCTCCATATGAACTTGAGCGTAAAAACCACAGGGATGTATGAGCTTTTGTAGAACAAACGCTGGCTGCATTTACCTTTACAAATGTACAAGTATAGGTGTACCTATAATTTTGCATACAGCCTACTTGTGTGACATACCCAAATAAATTGTATATGATTGATTAACTTTGTAAAAATATTCTTTTGGTGTCTACTTACGATTATACAGGTTGTTTTTTAACGCTACCCAAATAATTAAACCTGCTGTGAGACACCTTCAACAAAACCAGCTCATATGATGGTCTCCTTGTTTTCATTACTTCAATGCCGATTACCTAAAATGCATCGTTCAAGTTATCCATGAGGTTTAGCGTTTCTGATCATTTATCGTAAATAATACGTAATATGGTTTTCACCACACTAAGATGTTTTTTGCCGTTTTACAAATGTTTGTTGGATATATTAAAGTATATATCTCGACTTCGTCTCTAACATAACATTCAATCTCGAGCAGGCAAAACATAATTTTCGGCCCTAGGTACGAAATATACTATTTTTCACATGATCAAACAGAGCTTGCGGAAACGCCAAGTTGAGACTAATCTATATATATAATTCCGTAAGTCAAATTTTTGTAAAGAAATTGTGAGTGACTGGATGGCCGTAGAAGGATGGGAGGGGTCTTATTTTAAAGGTCTTGACGTGAATTTTGAGGGGAAACTATTCATTTTTCTTATTTTTTTACCATAAATTCTCAACAGAATATAACTTTTCCCATTAAAACAACATGGGGTTTAATTTGTTTACATCTTTTGAAATTAAAACAGCTGTGCCACAGATTTGTATTAGTTGTATTTCTGAAAATCTGTGTACTCATAGCCTTTGATATAGATACCAGCTGTACTTTTTATGAATTTCAGTTTGTTTAAGGTAAATGCACCAGTAGCTGACAGTGCTCCAGAAGCTGACAGTTTGAGTTTCTTTACATTATAATGTGGTCTCTTAAAAATATTTACACATGATTGCAATGTTAGAAGAACATATGTTTATTCCTGATTTGCTTACAAAAAAATCAGTGAAATTTAGCACATACTCAATGAATGGTGGTGGTTTGAAAGCGACCCTGTCTGTACACATCACATTTAGTCGATTCCCTTAATGAAACTGTTAAGAAGGTAAGTTTGTTTTTTTGTCATTTCGCTAAATTTCTTAAATAGTATTAATGGTTAGGCTCATTATTTTTATCAATTATACCTTTGTTGACAATTTCATGATAAAATTGGGGTGTTAGGGGTTTTGGATTTAAAATTATATCAATGTCAGGCTTTGGTACACAGAAGCCATACAAGTTCCACTAGCTGACAGGGGATATTTTGCTACTTGCACAATATGAAATTGGTTTTACCCATCGAAATTTGCATGCTATTTATAATTTATTTAATCTCACATTTTTATAAAATGATTTTAATTTTTTAATTAATAAGCCAAATATATTTAAAAAACTTATATTTTTCCTAAATAGGTATATATAAAAAATATATATATATTTTTTAATGTAAATATTTTTTATTTTAAAATATGTAAAATAAATTTTATTAATAACGTTTTACATGGTTTTATTTATAACTTAATTATCAAGTTAGATTTTATTCGTCTTATAAATTATAAAACCCTTAGGCTTAGCAGCTAGTACATTTATAGTTCCAGTGTCAGCTACTGGGACAACACACAGTCAGCTACTGGTACAAGCACTTTTTTCACTGTCAGCCACTGGAACATGTACAAAGGTTAAATTAAGTTCAAAAATGTTATAAAATATATTTTTTAAACCCTTTTTGTATGACAAATTTGAAAACTACACTAAATTTAGAATCACATAAAATCCGTAATATCTCTTTAGTTCCTATTTATTCAAAACCACGGATTATTAAGTGCGTATAGTTTCTTATATTGTCAGCTACTGGTGCGTTTACCTTACTACAGCAATGTATAATTTTTAGTTATGGTGATCTATAGTTATCTTATCGTATTTCTTCTTTTCTACCTAAATATAGTAATGAACAACGGAGGAAGGCCGCGTCGCCGAGGTGTTGGCTTTCGAAATCAGCATGACAGACGACAGCGTAGGCGAGAAATTTATAATGAGTAAAGGAATGAACAACCACATCATGACGTTGAAGATACTCCTATTTTTAGATTACCACTTATAATTGACATTAAAAGTAGGTGCCATAGTAATGTTAATCAGGAATATAAACCTAGGGTCAGGTTTGGTTAATGGCTTGCGGTTAATCGTATTAAGCATGTTTGAGAAATGCATAAAATTAGAAATTATTACGGGATCTGGAAAGGGAAATATAATATTTTTGCCTAGAATAAAGCTTATTTCAACAGATCCTAACATGCCTTTCCACATGTCAAGACTGCAATTTCCCTTACGACTTGCCTTTGCTATAACTATCAATAAGGCACAAGGCCAAACCTTCCAGAAAGCTGGAGTTTACTTAGATAAACCAGTTTTTACACCCGGACAGTTATATGTTGCATTTAGCAGAGTCAAGTCATCAGATGGAATCAGAGTATATATGGCAAATACAAGAGAACAGAACAATACAGAAAACAATTCATATACAAAAAACATAGTTTATCCAGAGGTTCTGACTAATTATCAAATGCAACAAGTAAGTAGTGATTTCTATTCATGGAAATAAAACTTGAATTAAACCAAATTTTAATTGTTTTTTATGCTTATTATTTTCAAAATAAAAAAGTTTACTGTTTTAGAGGCTATTGTCCCTACAAACTTCCATTTAAATGTAAATGTATCTACTGTATATAATATATTGTATACATTTTGTGTTGTAAACTATATTATAATGCTAGAAAATCAGTGCTTATTTATAAATGACCAATGAAGGTTGATAAAAAATTTATGTATTTTGGTTTTTTAGGGGCTTTTGCCCCTACAAGCCCCTAGTTCACAATAAATTCCTATGCAATATTGCATATCAGCTCATTGTCAATGAAATGAAGAATACAGATATACCACAGTTTTGTCATTAAACATGGTTTGGGTTTATGCAAGGCTCCACTAGAAAAACAAGCCATGCTGCAGCGCGGGCAGCTCAACACTACGTCACAGTGGTGGATAATTGTAATAAAATCTTCCCGTACCATCTGACAAACACCAAGCTTATTTACCTAAAACCTTAAATATATTGGATATGGCAGTGAATCTATCCACAAGTGTGACCTCAAGGATCCTGCAACATGGCCTGTTTTTCTAGTGTGGCCTTGGTTTATGGTATTTGTAATTTGACGTTTAGTAAAAAAACTCCTGTACTTGTTAAGTTTAAATGGAGGGGACTATAATTTCCTATGAAAACATTTTTGAAATGCGAGTATTTATATTTACATAAAACTTATTTTATGGTTGAATTACCTATTTGTCAATTAATTATGTCATGAGGATCATGATAAAACGTTGCAATGAGAAGAAAGAATCTTGTGCATGTTACGAAAAATCATACTACATTTAGGTGATACAATACCTATACTGGGTCTAGTACTTGGCTTGTAGTTTAGTTATTTAATCGGTATTAAAATATCGTATAAGTAATGATATTTTTCTTTTCATAAAATATATATTTTACTGTATATTTTATATGGATACCTTTATATCAATTGTGAGTACGGGCATTGACTATTGGATACTGAAGTAGACAGCCCATCTACATACAGAGCACTGAGCAGTTGTTGCAAATGAAAAAGAACGTAGTTGTGTGAGCCAGTCACAGAATGCGCTAGTGTCAGAAATTCCAGTTTCTACCGTATGTTTTGTTACTAACCAAGCTTATGGGCCATAACAGTTGCTAAAGCTCACAATAAATCATTAGTTTGACTTAGTAAAAGAGTTCGTGTATTTGACAGAATTTTATAATTTAGATAAGCACAATGCGTTGGCCGCTCCATCAACTCCGACGATTTGTATTAAATAACTGGTAAAAAATTTATCATCACTATAGAATGATACTATGGAAAAGTATATAATAAGCTCTATTTCATACTTTGCCTCGTTCACGTTAGGCAAGGTATAGAATGTTTAGCCATTCTATAGAATGTCTGGTTATACAGGGTGTCCATAAAGTCCCGGGTGGATTAAATAGTTTTCGAAATATTTAAAATAGAGCTACAAAACTTTGCTCAAAGTTACTGGACACTGGACATAAAAATCTATTTTATAAGATATTCAGTGATCTACTATTTCCTCAAGGGGACGGCCCACTAGGAGTCAGAATAAAATCTTAAATATATGCATCGGTTGATATACGCATCAAAATTTAAACACAAACGCACAGACGAGTCAAAAATTGCAGCCATTCGAAGACTTCTTTAATCTGCCATTTTGAACTTCTGAACGACTGCCACTTTTTACTCAGTTGCTATTTTGATTTAAAATTTGCGGCATTGTATTCTACTAATAAAGACCTTTTATTTGATATGCATATCATACTATGCTTACTTTTAAGATTTTTTTTACTCCTATAGGGCCGTCCGCCCTGAGGAAGTAGCGGAACACTGGATATGTGGTCAAATAGATTCTTATAAAATCTAGAAGCGTTGTGCAAAGTTTTGTAGCTCTATTTTCAATATTTTAGAAAATATATAACCGATCCGGGACTGTATACTTTGTTTGTATGCATTGGATGAATGTCATTAAAATCTAGTGGTTGCCTATGAAGTTAATACAGGCAATACAAAAAACAAGTGCATATTGTATACTGTTTCAGAAACGATCTAATTATGTACAAAATTGTTATACTTGTTATTGATATCCATTGCCGTTGAAGTAATTATCTAGATTATCAAATACGGCTTTTTTTACGCCATTCGTTGCTAGATCGTAGAAATCTTCTGTCTGTAAAAAGAAAATGTTTAGTGGTTTGTAAAAAATATCTAAAGAACTGGATAACATTTAAATATTGGTGAATAAGTATTTTTTGCTGTGTTGTCTTTCTATTTTAATCAACGAAAATTGTTCCAAGAGTTAAAAGAGTAATAATAAATGTTGCAAGTGTTTTTACATTACAATATGTAAAAAAAACTATAAATCAATAATTATTTGATAACCCCTTCAACATAGGGATAAAATGAAGGCCCTTGGAATATTCTTGACATCTTCACTCAGCCCCTTTGACCACATTGTATACACTTGAATTAATATGATCAATTTAGACAACCAAGTAAAATTGTCTTGTCACCTTAGTCTTGTCTTCTATTACAACCACCAACAATAAAATAGTTACATATTATCACAGAAAACATACTATAGTATGTTTTCTGTGATAATATCAACGTGATGTAATACAGGTTTACAAGTAGGTTTGGTATCTCTTAAATTGCCATACCATTCCTTATCCCACATGTTTTCATACTTGGTAAATATATCTCATCCTGAAAAAGGCTTTCAACCTATTAAAAGTAAACCAAGTAACCAATTAATTATTACTTACAGACATTTCCACCCAATTGTTTTCATATTTCTTTAGACGAAACCATACCCAAGGCCTTTTAATATCTCGAGGTTGTACCGATGATGAACAATCTTGTATATGGTTGACTTTACCAGGGTGTACTGTAATCAGTTTTGGCTGCTCGCTGTTTTTCATCCGAACGAGGACCTTGCTAACCTGAGACACGCTGTCGTACGAATAGAAAGTGACGGAATATGGTATTTTTGCGGTGCAGTCTGTCACTTCCAATGTCAGAAAAGGTGAAACCTTGTATGGGTTTTTCCACGATTTATGATAAAACAGATTCACTCGTGATTTTCCCTTTTCATTTTTCACAGACACTTTACTTTTGGAACACTTCATATAAATACTGAGGACTTTGCCTGGCCCTTTCCATTGGAAATAGTTCTTCCATGTATGGTAGTCCGACATCTCGTGTTTTGAGTTCACGTCGTCAAGTTCTTTTGAGAAGGGATTGAAGTCCCGAATGTCATTAAATAGTTCGGTAACTAAAACAATGTATAAAAGGTGAGATATTCATGAAAGATTTAAAAGATCACACCAGAAAATCTAATTATAAAAAAAAATTGAAGTTAACTAGATTATGGACTGAAAAATATTAAAAACCCGTTCAACTGACACTCCACAAGAGTGTAGTATTCTGCCGCAGCACAGTGGAAATGGTCTTAAAAATATCGTAGGCTTATAAACGATGTTCATATATTTGTAGTGAGTTGACAAATCTATCAGCTGACAGATGTTTTAGATAGTTTTATTGAATTTTGGTTGCTAAGAAGATAAAAATAAACAAAGGGACATTCTTCTAGGAGTAACTGCTTAATTCTCTTATGTTCAGAGACTGATAATCTTCTTATCAGTTCTTCTTTCAAGCTTGTGTAAGGGTTTTCCAGATTTGGGTTTGAGAGTAAATCCTCTATTTCGGAAGCAGTCATCTTATCTAAGTGTGTCACAACGTGTGTGAAACAAAGGCTCTCATCAAAAATGTGCCATAGAGAGAAAATTGCCTCAAATTGTATGAACCAAAGTGCTGGTTTCTCACGCCAAATATGGGGAAATTTTAATTGTGGAGATTGCATTGAAGTTGTGTTGTCAGACGGTCTTGGATTTACTGAATTGTTTCTTTCTTGAGTTTTCTGATTCATTGGATTAACCAAAAAATCTTCTTCTGAATCATGATTTTGTCTTGAATATTCAGAGTCAACTCCAATGACATCATTAAGTTGTTTTCTGAGATCTTGGTTTTGCTCTTCCATCAGTTTTAGTCTTGCCAACATTTCTTCATTGATTTCCATTATGTGTTCTTGATGTGTTCACGTCGGGGTCACCAATTTTAGTGAAAAGAACCTCATTTAAATAACAGAAATACTTTAAATAAAAGTCTAGAGGTTTCCACTAAATATTATTGTTTAATTTGTCAAACTTTTAAATTAATTAACAAATAATTAATTATAATTGTCTAGAACAAATACAAATGAACCACTTTGTTAGAAAAGCCTAGAAGAATGTCCCTTTGTTTATTTTTATCTTCTTAGCAACCAAAATTCAATAAAACTATCTAAAACATCTGTCAGCTGATAGATTTGTCAACTCACTACATATTAAATACATACAAGCAATATTAAGTATATGGCATAAAAATGATATCCGATAAGATAAATAACCTATAATATAGGGTAAATATCACGTAAATATACATTAATAAACACGAAACGGCAGGGGTAGTAGGGAGCCCTAAGAGTCCTTGGATAATTTCTAACAGCTGCTGAAGAGTTGGCTATCATCCAAAAATATTTGTTATACCAAAGTGATTATAATTTAAATATCTAGGACACTGTGAGATTATAGTTATGCTTTGTAGTTTTGAATTGTTTTCCAAGGGAGTCCATGGAAGCCAACGGCCATCTTGGATTTGCCCGTCATTTATTTATTTATTGCAAACGGCGACCAATACTAAACTATTACAGATTACCATATGATCAATGTTAATTTTGCTAATTTCAAACAGCCACTGAAGAGTTATTTACCACATTGTAATTTAAATTCTAGTGCACTGTAAGATTAGAAATTGTCTTTGTAGTTTTTAATTGCTATATGAGTTAGAACGTCTAGCCAGGCTCAAAGGACTCTTAGTCACGTAAGTTAATTAATTTTTTTTTACCTGTAGCTTCTGGGATCTTTGAATCGTCACCATCACTGAAGAGTCCAGCACTGATCTGTTCAGTAAAAATCTGTAACAAAATAGTATAAAAAGTATATCATGTAATCCAAACAAACGTGGATCAATGCAAACAACATGGGTATGTTATTTTATGGATGGTTGCGGATGTTTCGGATAGGAAAGCATGACGTTTCGGACACGAAGTCCAATCCCGTCCTCAGGAAGTAAGTATCAAAGCCAAAACAAGATTAGCACATTAACTTAGGGATAAAATGAAGGACCTTGGAATATTCTTGACATCTTCACTCAGCCCCTTTGACCACATTGTCCACATCACATCAAGGGCGCATGCACTTCTGGGGTTTGTCTTCAGGTCTACTGGGAACTTTCAAGATCCTCGGTCACTTGTGTTGCTGTGCAAGACCTTGGTCCGTCCTATACTGGAGTATGGCTCTGTGGTAAGGTCGCCTCATCAGCTGGGTCATATTGATTTGCTGTCTCGAATCCAAGCTCGCTTCATTCGGATGTTGGGTATCCGGATTGCTTTTGCATATACCGATGTACCAATTGAAAAGCTTCAGAGGGTCTTTGGTATTCAACCTCTTCGCATAAGACGTAGAATGGCTGAATGGTCTTCTAGACAGCACCGGCTGTTCAACATTGACCTTATTGTCCCGAGGGCAATCGCTTCAGAGCAATTTTCCTGCGCAGATTCCATCCCACATCATCGGCATCCTACAACAGCGGCTTGTCTCGGCTACTGCGTGAGGGCGCTGAGGCGGCTGCTCATGTAGACTTCTTCAGCACTTCAGCTCCTGTTTTTAAGATGTGCCAGTGCCTTTTTAAGCTGGTGGCTGCCTAAGGGCCTCATTAAATTTCAGTTATTTTAGGTGGTGCCTTTAAAGGGCCATATCTGTGTCCAGTTAGTGTTTCCTGTTTGTTTATTAAGTTCCCTGTTCTGTTTGCGGTTGTTAAATTAATTTATGGCTGTTGTTTTGTATATGTAAATATTTTTTTATGTATATTAACATACTTTTAATAGCCTACTGGTATTGCACTTGTTTTTTTTTTCATTTTTTCTAGTTGTTGCTATGTCTCGGTTGCATATTGTTTATTTTTTCGCTATGTTTTTGCACTTCATATTTTACCTGTTGTTGTTAACGCGCTATATTATTTGCTGGTTATGTCTTTTGCATGTTATATGCCTGCTTTTCACATTCATTCTTATTTATGCATGTATTTTAGTAGCCTATACCTAATTATGCTATGTTTATGGATGGCATACACTTGAAGTAATTCAGCGTATGTAACGTACTTATTTCTTTTATACTGGTTATGTCTGGGCATGTTATGCCAGCTTTCTAATTTATGCTTATTATTGCACATATTTTATTACCTAATAATGCTATGTTTATAAAGTGATTTAATCCTATTTAATGTATATGTGAATTTAAAAATGGTGTTACCGTTAAAAGAATAAATAAATAAATAAATAGAGAAGGAATCTGGAGAATTGCAACAAAATGATTCAGAGAACTGTGTAGTAATCAAAACAAGATACAGAAATCCTCATATAAAACTTGAAATGAAAAAAACAGGTAACATAGATGAGTAATAGAATTTTGATTAGAAATTTTACGCTCTTGTTATGATATCTTCAGTAGACCTGATTCAAATCCCAATGGGTTTTATAATGGATGTCGTCAATGAATTTTAATGGAAGTGATAATGCCGCAACTCTTTAGGCCTAGCCTGAAGCAATAAGAAAACGGTTACATGCTAAATCGTATCGTCCAATAATGTGAAAATGGGACAAATAATGGGACAAAATAATGTGAATATGGGACAAAAAAAGAAAACACAAATAAACACTTAGAAATAATTTATATGTAAAAGAATAATGTCTCAAGTTCTTTTCTCGTGATACAAAACAAAATCTTAACCATATGTACATTTTAGGCTTAAAAGAATAAATATAGCATGTTGGGAAATTTTTATGTTTTCATGTTTTTAGCGAATTTCCCTATAGGGAAGTAGCTATTACCGTAGGTCTCATGGTAAGACTTAGGCCCGGGACCGATTTACTTTTTCATTTTGATGTCCCCAGAGGCCAAAAACACCACTCGTTCAAATTTTTATATATGTATATATATATATATGTGTCCGTGAACACGATAACTTGAGTAATTTTTATCCGATTTTGATGAAATTTGGTTTGAAGGTGTAAGGCGGGATAAACTTGAATGAGTTCGCGATCCAGCATGATCGGACCATGGGAACAGGGTTTTATGGGGGGTTTTATGGGGTAAAAATTGGTTTTTCTCACTTTTGACCCTCAAAACACAAAATTTCCCAATTTTTCTCTAAACCTTCTTAAAGAGCTTAAAAAAACAAACAATTCAGTATATCAAAGTGTTTTTGTACGGTTATTGGTTACGGAGAAAACTAAAAAAATGGTAAATTTAAAATTCCCATGTTATTCTTATGGAGAATATTGTAAAATGTTGTAGTTTGCTTGTTTATGGATATCTTTTGATCAAACTTGGCAAATATATTCATTTTATACTAAGCAAAAATTATTTTACTTAAAACACACACTTTATTAGTTTCCTTGTAGCAGCAAACCTAGGTACTCGTTAAACCTAATGTTATTTAAATAGATCAACTGAAAATCAATTCAGCCAAATGGAAATTCGCTTAGGCGTCAGGTTTGCTGCGGCGGGGGTATTATGTTTTACTATTCCGTTTGTTCTGTATTTTATATTTTTGCAGTTTACCGTGTTTTATCCTTTCATGTTTTCAATATTTTAAAATCAATTAATTACCATATATTAGATATTTCATGTGAATTCAAGTTAAGTGTTAGAGTGTTTGCTGTCTTTTGATAGAATAGTGAATCCTACTAATTTCTTTGTAAAATTATTATTCTTTTTTATCATTTCTAGATTCAAAACAATCCTATCATCAAATAGTACCGTTAGACATATTGCAACTCGACATAAGATATAACTAGACAAGCATTAGATTCGCAAAATAATAAAGCATGAGTTGAAAGCTAAAAATGTATAAATACCTGAAGAAAGCAGAAGACTGCAAGTTTAAATGTACCGTTGCGACCCATAGCGCTGAACGTCTACTGTGATATGAGAAAAATTACGCTTTGCTGGTTAAACGCCCCGGTAAACACCTGTATGTAATGATAGTGTACATCAGTTTTGTTGACGTCAGGCCAAGGTTAAATTTGGTTAACTAAAATGTCAGCAAGTTAAACAAGAACAAATCGTTTATTGTGTAATGATACTTCCTTTTTGAATTAAAAAATAAATATTCTTACCAACCTTTAAGAGATTACTGTAGAACAATATTTTTAACCATGATATTCTCGTAAAAATGTAAAGTAAACGCTAAATTCTAAATTATGTCTACTATGTTTCTACTATTTACCAAAATATGACTGTTGCATTAAAAAACCTACAGTGTTTTTATTTTAATAAAACACCCCACCTCAGCAGACCAGCAGACTAGGGATTTTATATTTGCTTGACTGGATTTTCATTAAAAAATCTCCTCAGTATTTGAATAATATATTTTATTCTATAACATAATATGATTAGTTTTAGGAGTTTTTAGGTTTGCGTTACAGGGAAGGTATTTAAGTTTTACTTTGTAAAATGCTAATGGTTCGCAATAAAATTTACATAAAAAACAGGCAAACTACAAAAGTGTACTTATTTTCCATAAAAACAATGGAACAACGGGATTTTAATTATTTTTTCACCTTAATCAAAACGCATAGGAACGCTTCAACATACTAAATAATTATTTGCTTTCTAAGCACCTTTCTGCGTGGTGCTTGTTTCGACCGCAGGCTTCGCTCTCCTAAAGTGAGGCTTGAGGTTGGAAGAAAGTCATTTTCTTATTTCAACCCGCAGTTGTATAATGGCCTCCCTCAGGACAAAAAGAGTTCCAAATCATACATATATCATAAATCATATATATAGCTCATTCAGGGCAGCAATGAAAACAAACTTTAAAATGTAAATTGTAAATTGTTTTTTAACGTTGTAGTTATTTGTATATATTTATGTATATATTATGCTAGTTTAGTTTTAGTTTGACTTGAGTAATTTTGAAAAACATGTACATGAAACTCCATTGCAACTAATATTGCAATGCTAATATCTGTATTGGCCTTTTTTATTTATTTACTCTACAAAATGGTCCAGGAATAAATTGTAAAAGTCTATTTTTTTGGGTCAAAATGGGGAATAACATTTTTAAGACATAAACGTATTTTATCTATGAATAAATTACAAATAATACAATGCACATCTCAATCATCTAATACGGTACATAAATTAGTCTAGTAAACTTTTAAAACGAATTATTATTTAGTTAACCTTTTTATTGTATAAAAAATGTCCACAAATAAAATATGACCCCATCACCTGAAAAGAGACACATTAGGCCAAAGTTTTGAATATACATTCAATGGTACAAATCATTCCTTAATAGCCCACACGAAAAAAACGGTATTATAAAACATCCTTGCACAAACATTGTTTTTATGGTTTGTTTAAATTAAAACAGCGGATTGAAATTTTTTAAGATTTAGTTTACATAAAATAAATATAATCTTATCTTACTAATATTATAAATGTGAAAGTTTGTGTGTTTGTTTGTTTGAAGTTCAATCACGCATAAACCACTGAACGGATTGGGCTGAAATTTGGCATGATGATAGCTTACATTCCCGATTAACATATAGGCATATTCTTATCTCAAAAATCCTTTCGGGCTCCGCCCCAGTGGCTCTGTAATTCCCCATGTTTACCTTATGAGTATTCATATTTAAAGGGAATTAAAGAATTTAGTCAGCTGTTTCAACTAAAAAAGTTGGTTCTATGATATGGAAAAGCATTAAAAAGTTATAAGATTTACCAACAGGGTGCAGCACTATATTTTTTTTGCATTTATGAAAACAGCTAATTTGAACTAAGCAGCAACAAAAAACTGTGATTCGTGATAAAAAAAAGAAAAAGAAAAAAAGAAAAAAAAAACAATGAGAACTGTCAAAGTACGATTGTTTACAGTTATGTTTATGTTTTTCATTTCATGAATAATTTGTGATATTTTGTGAATTGTTGATAATTTATTTTTCTCTATTGTTTAGGTAGATGGCTATGGCTATGGTAGATGTGTAATACTATAGAATACTGTAAATTTAAAAAAGCAAATTTTATCAAACTGTGTCCTCCCTTATTGCAAACGCAAAGCTTGAGTATAACTGCAATAAGCATTTTATACTTATATTCCAACCCCGTACGAAGGACGGGTACTCTGCTAGTATTATTATATATTGATTTCACTGTTAAACCAAAGTTTGCTAATAATTGTCCCAGTACTTCGGGGATTGGGTTATGGCAGAAGAGAGAAGAGAGCCAAGTAAAATGATCAGAATTTCATCGGAACTATTTTCCCCTATATCGAGTAATCATCGGTGTAATCTTTGTTCGATAGTAACAACTGATGTTTTTCTTTTGTACTGTATATTGTAATTTGATAGTATACTGTGGATGGCTTGTTATAAACACATGTTACAAGTATTTTGTTTCTTTTTTCCTTGTTATATTGTTGAACCAACATAAACATACAAACCGATGTATGTTTATGTTATTACCGTATGGGTTAACCATTGGATTACCCATTAAGCCAATGTAAAATTGTTAAATGAGTTTTGTAGCGCAATTGGCCTATTAATTTTCCTGTGTTAATGTACTGTGTCCTGTACTAATTACAGTACGTGTATAAGCCAAAAATAAATTATTGACAACGTTTGAAAGAAATCGTCGAAGCCGTTTTCAAGATCTTTGTGCAAGCATGCATAGAAGCAAACATTGCACAAGAGTATAGGCTAGGTAGGATAGATTGGCTACTAACAGTTGTCATACAAAAGGAATTTTGGTCACTTAAATTCGGTTGCAAACAGCTGATTACCCATCATTTTATTTTGCCCAGGTGATTATTGTCAGAAACGTGTTTCTTAAGACTGATCAATCCATCCATATTCGTCCTGATAGGGAGGGAGAGAGATAATGTTCTAAATATTAACTCAATCATTGACGTTTGGCGGATCCGTTGCAATCCAATGCCAAAGCATGATTTCATTGATAATACTACAAAATTAACCCTAACCGATTTCATTTGTCAAAACTATTGGTGTATTCAATTTCCTCCCAATCTCTTACTATTTAAAAGTTATAGTTTGTAGTGTATTACAGTTTGTATATACTTCTTGTATCCAATACAGCTTATTCAATACTTAGAAATTTCCCAACGAAAACAACATACATATTATATTTTATAGTGGTTGTAATTTTATCTCGTTAAGTTGCGGTAGGCAAGTTAACGCAGACTGTAACCAGTTGATTACAACATGTGATATTTCAGTTTATGAGATGCTGCAGATTTCCCACGTCGGATGTATTTCACCTTGGGGCTACATATCAGATTAAATGCTGCGAAACATGTTTGTGTATTCATGTTTATATCCTGGCAGGAAAAGAATCAGTGCCCGTAACACTGAAGAGCCGTCGTGTTAATCTACATCCATACTAAAGTCCTACAATTTGAGGGGTTTTAAATACTTTGTTAATAATTTAAAATTGTATGTGAAATTAGTTAAACCTTTTAAACCTTGAAGTAAAAATCATTTTTGAATAATCTAAAAAGTACTAAGAAAATCGATTATTCTGCAGGTTTGCTGCTTTGGACCTTAAAGAGAATCTCTTGTTCATTAGTGTTTGAAGGGCGTTAATTCTTTTAAAATAGTCATAACTAATTATTCATATGCTGTTTCGTATTTATGGTTTTACAACATCAGTATAACTTGCCTTCACGTGTTGCATTATGAGTTGTTGTGCTCTTTACCTAACAACAACCAGACTGAATATTACAGAGAAAAGTATGCAAAAGTTAGGCGTATCCTCATCAAACTAGAGGTAGGACGAAATATGCATACTAAACACTCATGCGGTTGTGAATGGGTTACCTTTGTTCAAAAGTTTTTCGCAATTTCAAAACTTCAAACTGGCTATGTTTTGATTTGAAAAGTTTTCTACAAAGCTCAGCAAATACAGAGATGTGTTATGACTCGCCAAAAACAAGTCTGATAACAATAGAGAGCACGCCAGTAAATCATTCATCGTAGCTACAATTCCTATTATTATGTTTTCTACGTTTTTGTTTCTGAATGTATAGTTTATTTGATAGATTCTACCGTTTGTGTTGACTCCTTATCACGTGAAACATTCTTTCTATTAACAGATAATATCACCTGTTCACTAACATGTGAATTAAGACGCTGAATTAAATCGCTGACCGTTGAAAAAGCTTTGATTCTCTAACTGCTAGCATCGTGATTAGTATGTTTTACGTACATATTATTGTAGGCTAAATAATTTATTTTAACTCCAATAACACGTGTTTCATACAGTTACATTAACAGTTTTTCAAAACCTGATATTTCATGAGTTTCAGAAGGCTTATATTTTCCTGTAGCAAAGTAGCTATTAGAAAACGTTGTCTTAGGAAACGTTCTGAGCTAGACGATACATGGAGGATCAACAGAATCAACGTTAACCATATTTTAACCAATTTAGATTGTAATATGTTAACGAATTCACATTTTTAAGACAGCAAAGCAACTAGATTGGATTTTGTGTATATACTTACTGTAACCTGGTGTTTGATGATCTGTGTAGCTATGATAACGACTTCAGATTAACTATTTTTAAAAAGGACAGTTTCTTTTTTTATCTCATTGTTCTATTAAAAACCGTTTGTCTTGGATAAACTCACTCAATTACAAATCTTCAATGTTTTAGCACTCCTTAGCAAGTATTTTATCGTACTTTATATGGTATTGATTCGTATGTAAATAAATGCTTCTTCCACATAAAAAACTCATAGTAGCGTTTAGGAACCGCCATGCTATTAGAACTCAAATCGTTTACAACTTCAATACTATTCGCATACTGTGTCCCGAGCTTGCTATCAACCTGCGATAACAACCGGTATATAGCTTGTCTATGTTTGTTCACTTCATCAACTGTTTGCAACGGTGTTGATGATATTTCTCGGAAATCAGTTCAAGATTGTATGCCACAGTTACAACAGGGAAGAACACGAAGACATGCCATAGAAGTTTGTACCCGTAGGTTTTCTGTCGCTTTGTTAACCTTCCTGTATTCGTATCTGTTGTTCATTGATTAAGTGTCGTACTCTGAGTATTCAGGATGAACCGGAATGTAACCAGATTGTACAGAAGAGCCCAGCGGACATGCGCCAGATGTCGTAATCACGGTCTCAATATCCTTGTGAGGGGCCACAAAAGATACTGCAAATACCGACACTGCGTCTGCGACAAATGCTATCAAACTGCGCAAAGACAAAAGGTAACCAAACATTTTCATCCCGGGGCATGGTGAGTGTTTGCGGTTGCCAGAGTATGGGTGTGGGGGTATGCGTTGATTTCCGGCACTCCCGAGGACATTTTATTGCTTTCGATGGTTTTTCTTGCTTGGTTTTGTGCAATAATATACTATTCTGGAGTAGGCACAAGAAATTATATAACAATAATGTTTTGTTAAAGTTCAGATTGTTCACATATTTGTGTTGCTATTTCTGTCATACAATGGATTACGTTAATTGTCTAAAACATAGTTTAGTATTTTCTCTGGTGGTAAATTCAAATCATAAATAACTATTTTGGTTTGGAAACATCAGATGAGAGTACTTATTTTTATCTTAGTAGAGTGTTTGATCTTGAGAAAAAGCACAAAGTGTTAGAAATTCTTTTTATAATTTTAATTTTCGTATGTCTTCACCCCTAAAGGAATGGTCGACCTTGTCTTATAACTCTAAGATCTTTTGTTAAATGTCATCGTTAATTGATTGCACAATAGCAAAAATCAAAATCAGGGTCCAGAAACGATGATCTTGCTTAGAATGAAACCAGCAAACTCCATATTTAAAGACAAGCCTTATCAAATCAAATCCACTTTATTGTCACATAGAAACATTTGTACACAGCAAAGCTATTAAACTGGTGACATTGTCAATTCAATATAAACCTAAAAATACAATTAAGTTACAGAACATTTTTGTCTGACTCTAAAACAACAATTACATATAACAATCCTGCTTAATTTTGTAAAAAGTCACTTACAGAGTAAAATACTTGGTTTAAAAGATAACTTTTTATAGTATTTTTAAAACTCTTTAAACGGATTTGGCTTTTAATGTTTGTCGGTAGATTATTAAAGAACTTCATACCCATGTAACTAGGGCCCTTTTCATAGATTGTTAAGTTATGTATTCGGTATTGAAAATTGTCTTTGCACCTTGTGTTGTATGCATGTAAATGCTGCTGTTCACAAAGAAGATCAAAATTCCTCTGAATGAACAGTAAGCATGAATATATATAGAGAGAGGGAAGGCTCAATAATCCTAACTGTTTAAAGATTGGCTTGCATGAGACTCGTGGCCGCGAAAATGTCATAATGCGAACAATTCTTTTTTGAAACTTGAATATTTTTTTCCAATCAGCTGATGAACCCCATAGCTCAATTCCATATTTCACAATGGAATAAAAATAGACAAAATAAACCATTAATCTAGTTTCCAAATCAGTTCTACCCCTTAACACAAGCATTTGGAAACAAGCAGAATTCAGTTTATTACCGAGTATTGTTATGTATTTTTTCCAGTTTAAATTTTGGTCAATTGTTAATCCCAAAAATTTATTCTGTATTTTAGATGTAATTTCAGTATTTAAAAACTCAACTGCAAATGTTTTAGGGTCATTACTTTGTGCTGTTTGAAATTTCATCAGATTTGTTTTTTCACAATTTAGTTTTAGTCCATTAGTACGAAACCATACTTCAAGTTCCTCCATAGCATTGATAGTAAGTATTTAAGTATTAGCTCATGTACACTTTGAGCCTTAAGCAGGGCAGTGGTGTCATCTGCATATAAAATGAGGTTTGTATTAATGTTGCCATCAAGATCAGTTATATAAATTAAGAACAATATTGGGCCAAGGATTGAACCCTGGGGAACACCAACTGAAATCTTTTGCCAATCTGATTGAAATTTTAATGAATCTCTTTCTATTACAACTCGTTGCTTACGGTTACTTAAGTATGAACAAAGCCAAGAAATTGCAGTTTTTGAGAAATTATATTTTTTTAACTTTTCTAATAGAATCTCATGCAATACACAATCAAAAAAGCTCTTATAATCAGCTCGGCCACTCAGTCACTGTGTTGTTGTTTATAAATTATTAAATTAATGATGTTTTTGAACACGAGAACCCCGTTAAAAGATACCAAGTTTCAAACCATTCCCTTAAAACAATTTAAATATGGAAATTTTTGTTTGAATAGGCCTACAAAAGTAAAATTTGAATAAAAATTTAAAATCTTCCAGATCATGGTACCCATTGATGTTTAAGTATCCCTGTTTTTCTCGTAAATGGATATTTAAAGTCCTATGATGATTGTTTTTACTATAACTTTTGTTTTAATAAAATCCTTCTAATTAGTTATTTTTGTTTTTTTTCAGTTGATGGCTGCGCAGACAGCCCAGCGGCGCGCAGAGGAGGAGGATCGACGCAGGTCTAGAGTTGAAGTCGAGGCGTTGAGTTGCGGCAACGTCAAGCGACTTTACAGACCGTACGAGTTGAACTCTGACAAAGACAAGCCACAAGACGCACCTCGTAAGTACCTTACATTATCACTTCAATCAACAATATATTTATAAAACCCAAAATGTTTTACTGATATACCGTTATTGCACTCTTCATTTTTCTAACCCCATTTAATCACCTGGAGAGCTACGGATGCTTATCAACAAACTTCCCAAAAGCATACTTAATATTCATTTGCCCGAAAGAATATCAAACTAACAACTTCTGCGAATTACGAATGCTCGTTAAATCCAGCCATTAAACCAAAGAGGGTTGAATGGGTTGCTAGTCACACTTTGGTGGTTCAACACCATAGTCATGCGAAAAACACTGTAGCAATCAAAGTAGTAGCAAGCGAGGTAGACAGAAAAAAACCTGGATAAGAGCTTTATACAAGAAAACAAAAGACGAGTTGGGATCAGAGTTTGGGTAACAGTAGGAAGAAACTTAGTCTTTTACGGTGGTTGTGGCCCCCCAAGGGAAACAAGAAGTAAGTCAATGGCCATGCAATCACCAGAAAGTCAATATATGGATGCATATTAGAACGAATACTAATCAATAATACTTTTACTTAATACTATTAAGTAAAAATAAATAGCTGCGAACGTCCAAAATTGTTTTACCTCAGAATTTTCAAGGGGAGATAGTTTATGCAAAGCAGGTGGTAATTCAGATGGTAATTGTGTGTTTATAGAGATCGCGGCGACGTAGTAGGTGACGTATTTGGGGGTGAGTATGGGTGTGACGTCATAGAGTGACGTATAAGGGTTATGACGTGGTTTCAAGGTCATAGGTTAGTGTTTTAAAAAAGGAAGCTACACCACACATTTCCAGTGTGGGATGTTACCAAACATGTGTTTTTCATTTATACACTTGAGTTTGTTCTACTATTGGTAGACTACGCAAGCCTCGCTCTTCTACAACGCCGATTATATTCAGTGCTGCGTAATCTTATACATTGAATTGAATTCACTTTTTTAACGCTCCGTTTTTTCTTTTTTTTACAGTAACACTGATGTAACTTTACTCTATAGTGATAGAGTTTTTTAGTTTAATAATTGTACATTCTCTTTGGTGTTTATGTCTAAAATAGCAAACAGGAAAATGCCATCGTTTCTTTAACCGCACCAAGTAAGGATGAGTTAAAATGATAAATTAAGTAAAAATAAATGTTCAATCATTTCCATTCATCGGATTCCTCACAAACAATAAGCTATTACTGTAGGTCCCATGGTAAGACCTACACTTGCACCTAATTGCTTTGTAGTCCCCAGAGGCCAAAAACACCGTCCGTTCAAATATAACTATGTCACCATTAATATCTCAGAAACTACTGGTTTTGGAGAAAACATTAAATGTTGAAATTCAACTATTTTCCTATGAAATCAAATAACAATATATGAATTCCTTATTTTCAAAAACAGCCGCCACTATCCAATGTGACGGCTAACTTTAAAATTTCTTCTCGAACACCACGTATTGATTGTTCAAAATGTAAATGAAATAGTTTAAACGTTTTAATATTTTGTAGTTTTTCTCTAAAACTACTCTTTTCGATATACAGAGTGTTTCACCTTGGAAAAGGTGGCTTTTTCTGGACATTATTCATCCTAAAGCTGCAAAACGAGTACATTTGGAGCTGAAATGCTGAGAGTAAAATGTCTTAACGTTGCGTCTACCTTCTAACATCGTAAAATCTAAATATATAAAAGCCAAAGCCAACACTGACTCACTGACGCACTCACTCACTCACTCAATCACTCACTCATCACTAATTCTCCCACTTCCCATTTACCTAGGAGGCTAAAATTCGGTACACCGATTCTTTGGGCATTAAATAGGAAAACTAAGTAGTTTTCATCCTGATCGGGCTTTCGGGCTCCGCCCCAGGGGCTCTGGAGTTGCCCATGTTAACCTTATGATTTTTCATGTTTAAAAGGAATGAACGAATCTTGACAGCTGTTTCAATTAAACAAGTTGGTTCTGTTCTATGATGTTCAATAGCATTAAAGTTACAAGGATTACCAACAGGGTGCGGCACAATTATTTTTTTTTAATTTATGACAACAGCTAATTTGCAACCAAAAGTTGAGTGAGCGTAGCGAACGAACTTCAACCAGGTGACCCAACACCCAACCGCAATCAACTTGACCTCAATCAACGTGATTGAGCCATGCGAATACTTGTGAAGTTAAACAGGGCAAAGCCCGCGCGGGTACAGCTAGTACAGGATATTCTAAGAAGAAATTTTTAAGTTAGCCACGATTTGTGTGATCATATTTTGAAAAGTTGAATTCATATTTTCAATGTAAGTGTTGCTACATTTTAGTGCCTCAAGTAACTGAGCCAACAGAAACAACTTATTATCAATACACCAAGCAGAATTACGCTCATTTCGTTCCTTCGAAATTTATCATAATCTCAATATACTCTGTGGGGAAACAGAGTAATTTTTAATGTGAATTTGTATGTATAAATATGCAGTTTCAACTAGCATTCGACACCATTATCATTGAAGCAACAAACTGCTTGATTACATATGTAGCGATAGTCGTCCCATTCTTACCTGGTATCAAGAGTCAACAGAGGAATGATATCGCTATCATTTGTTTGATGAGCAAACCAAGAAGATGTTACTGACCTTACCCAATGCAGAACTGCTTGCGAACCTGATGTCATGAGTATTCGTCATTTAAACTTTTTATGTTCATTTGCGTATCAATTACTGATGATTTCTTTTTCTGCATAGGTTTCACTACACTTCAGAGAAGCAATTTGTTCAAAGAAAAACTACGATACCTGCTTTTATTTTTGTTTAAATATTGAAAATTATATGATTTTTTATATACATAGTATACTTGTAATATTTATATTTTAGGAAAGTGGAATGAAAACTACCCCTTTTACAAACTGAATTAACATAAAAAACAACTAGAAAAATATATTCATAAATCATAATTTTTTACCGTTATCATTGCATTTTTTTATGTTGTAAACACTATAATAACTAATCTACTATCAAGAAGTACAAAGACTATTTTTTTTTATTGCAAAAAATGTGATATTTTGTACTGCAGCTAAAATAGCCGTTTTTAAACTTGCTTTGCGAGTATTACATGGTATTTTTAATATCTAGGGGTAAAAATCCTTTTTAGTCCCAAGGGAGTAAAAATCAGCTGTTGTAAACTGTTGTAAATTTCGATTGCAGCAATCCCATGGATCGACATTATTTATCCTATTGTTCTAAGGTTTTATCCTATTGTTGCATTCTTTTTAATGGTTGCGTGCTATAATCAGTTCAAGGAAGCCCACTTTGTCAGGCAACTGTAGGAAAACTGTGTTTTTACTGTGTATAGCTCATCTGTAACATGTCACCAGCTGTCACACATCGCAACGATTCCTGCAAATCTAGGACAGTTCACAGGGAAAATATTTGATTCAATAATGTCATGGACTAACTTTGTTTAATCTTTGATGATGCTTCCTTGGTGCAGACAAAGAGGCCAGCAAGCACATGATGGAAAGTATCGCTCTTTTGCAAGGTATGTGCAACCTGCCCCCCACTGCGGCACCTCTTCTGCACCTCATACTGACTAGAGTATCGTCCAACCCCATCACGGTGTACAGGCTCTTCCTTAAAAGTAGGTGAACATAATCTTTAAAATTATTTCATGTTTAATAGATTGGTTGTGTATGATATTGATGAGTGATTGAATAGTTGGTTTGATCAGTCATTTTATACAAATTTTTAAATTGTAAAAAAAATTATTCTTTATTTTCAGTACAGTATAAAAACAAACAAATTGTGCTTTTTGATTAATAATTATGTCGAAAGATGTTCTTAAAATGTTTGAAACAAGAAAATAATTATGCAGGAAGTAACTAAAACATGTTAGAGCTGTTTCATGAATCTTGTAAAGATGAACTAAGAGCTAATTTGATTGGTCCAATTCCACCAATCAGGTTAAGCAGTCAGACCAGTATAAAAGACAAGGTTTGCATGTTAGATCCCTCTTTAGTCCAAATGTGTTGTCCAGTGATGTTGTCAAGAAAAGTTAAAGCTTTTAATATATTTTAGTGAGATTCGGTCCAGGAAAACTGGTATGTAAATTTATTTGATTTAAACTTTAGTTCATCTAATAGGTCTGTTAAAAGAAAAATGTTTAAACTTTCATTATATTTTAAAACCAGTAAATTTGTTTAAATTAGGGCACATGATTGTTGGTAACCAAAAGCAGTTTTAATTAAAGAATGATGGTGAAGAATTTAAAGTATATTATTTCCAATCATAAAACCTATTTTTTCAAAATTAATTGTAATGAAGCTATAATTAAGAATTGTAGGGAAAAATTAAATTTAAACAAAAGTTTAGTTACAATTTTAATTTAAAACTGTTAGAAATGCTGGATTGGATTGGGAAGTCGAAGTCCCTCATTTAAAACGTTTATTTTTACTAACTAACCTATGGTCGATCGTTTCTTTAGTTCAACCAAGGTTTAAGTTAAACCTAAGGGAATTTGATTTATCTATGGTGAAACACTTTCAAACTCAGTAGTATTGTACAGTTTGGAATACACTAGTCTATTTTAATTATTTGTCAGGAAAATTTACAATACCTTGTGTTACGACTTGAACAGGTAGGCCTAATACAAAAGTCAACAAAGTTCAAAGTGATTCTAGACTAATAAAGGACATAATTAAAATAGGAGAATGTAGAAATTTATGGGGAATGCAGGGAAATTTTAACAAAATAAATATTTTTTATCCCCCTCAACTATTTTTAACAGTGTTTATTTCTTGCATTTATCACACTTTTCTCTACAGCGAAGGAGGATCTGGAACTGCAGAGGTTGGATGATAGCGACCTCACACTTCCTCAGGGGGACACTAAGGTGCCTAAACACACTACATCACTATATCACCCTCTCAGTGTGCATTGCAACGCTTGCCTCACAGCTTCATTGTGTCAGTCCATCTACCCCTACAACTTTGACATCACCTCTACTGTCAAGGCGAAGAGCGATGAATCCGTGAAAAACTGGCCTCCGTCGGACTCTTGAATATGTTAACGGTTTGAGATGTGTTTTCATCAAACAGATTACATGTACTTAAGTGTACTTGTTGAGTAAATTATTTTTTATTGTGCGTGTTACCCTTGAATGTCAACTATCTATCCTAAATCGCCACGACTTATTTACTAATGAATTAACTGAACTGGTACCATGAGTTGATTGGAAAAAACTGTTTAATTTTTAGGAAACTCAACTATTTTCTTATAAAATCAAATAACAATAGCTGTTATAAATATCTGTTTTAACTGTTTACCTTTTAAACAAAGGATAATTATAAACTCTGTTGTTCATCCCAGATAAATATACGTTTAAGATTTACATGACAGTGAAACATAACTTTTAATAGGAACAATTAATACCCCTACATGTTTATGTAATGATTTATGAAAAGATATTTTTTTTAAATCGTGTTTACATTTTTTATACTCACAATGACATTATACATCTAAGTTAGTAAAGATAAACATTTCGTATCATATAACTAATAGCCAAAACTACTACAGTTTTGAGTTTAACAAAATCTTGAAAAAAAACAAAGTAAGGTTGAAGTTGTTAGCAGGCCTCCTAATTGTAAGCCAATTTTAATGTCTAAGTAGGTAACAATTCGGAATAAGAAATTGTTATTGCAGAAAACAGATATAAACTGTGTTTACCTACGTTACAGAGAAACGTACCAAATCATTGAAAAAATAAAGTTAGCTATCTCTTCCTGGTGTCGTAGAATACTATATAATATGCCTTGTTTGCACTTTTGTGTTCCGATAGAGAAAAAATGTCTGAAAAAAACTTTTATTTTTTTGTATTTTTTAATTTTTTCAAAGTTTGAATACATTTTTAGTGAGTTTAAAAGTGTCCATTTTCATGACTCCGACACTAACTTCATATCTCATCAAACAAAATTGCTGCTTGGATATTCATTGGGTTGCACAACACCTCTAAATAAAATGTGTCGTGTCGACTTTTAAATTCTGAGTTGTTTCCTGGGAAAAACTCCATATTGGAAGAGATTTAAAACAAAAATATTAGGCCTAACAGTAATATTTTCATTTGATCCTATTGAGCCACATTGAGCATGCATGAAACATTTTATGAGAAAAATCATTTTTAAAGTAATCACTTTAATATAATTTCACATAATAATAATAAATAATTGTTTTTAATGGTTTATTATCGATTAACGTTACAAACCTTTATTTCTTTATTAGTTGACAACATGTAAAATCAAGAAGTGAGCAAGTTTTCTAAGTAAATGTCAGGCATTTCAACATTGTTGAACAATAGTTGAACGGGAAAACCTTTTAGATAAATATAGATATGAAATATGGAAGGAAAACTGGAACAGTAATTTAAAGTAGTGGAGATAAGGATGGCACTAAAATATTGTCTGTATAAAGAGTTATGTTCAAACATTGTGTAAGACACTCTAAATAATGTTTGTATCTTATCAAAGTATGGAACTTTTTACAACTACTTTTTACATCGGACTGTGTATTAGTGTTGCTAAACGCATTTCATGTCCTTTCAGCCTTAATTTGCAGAAACACCATTGTGGATATTAATTATAACATCATTATTATGAGAAGCAATACCAACCTAAAAGTGTCAAATTGGTTAGGTGTATATTTTGTTTTAATCCGTACACAAAGGATTTCAACGTCTTTTTCCAATGTGATGCTCAATCACTCTATTTATTTAAAAAAAAAATTACGGTATGTGTGTTTGTTTCTGCTTTCTGCTAAGTGGAATCTACTAAACTGAACAGCTGACATTTTGAACACAGGATCATGAACCGTCCAACATATGGGCCAACACTTCATGACTGTAAATACTCTTTTCCTACAGTCACCCGACAAAGTTGGCTTCCTTGTACTGTTTATAGTACAGAAAGCTGCTAATTGCTGCATATTTATACTTTGCCGTACGGTTTATACTTTGTCGTACGGTTTATACTTTGCCGCACATCAGGATTCCAACGAAACAACACAAAACAGCGTGGTTCTATTATGCACGTAATCCGTGTAAGCTTGGAAATAGGTTGGCAACACTTAAAGATAATAATACTATGAGCAGCTGATTGACTAACTACGATTTAACCTGTAATTTCATGTTTATAGTTTCGGTATTTCTGAACTTTCTGGACTTTTCTTTTAAACGTTTTTAAAACGTTCCTACGATCTTAATAAACAAGAAAATACCTTTAAAGCATTTTTTTTTGGCGCGAAAACCACTTCAAATTACAAAAACATACGGAACTATATTCTCAAAACGTGGAGCACATTTCTTGCCGAGGAAAAATAGCGGAGTGATACGGACCGCGGGTACTACTTTCTCTAGGGCACCATTTGTGTTGCCAGCTGAACCTAAAAACGTGTTGTATAGTGTTTGAAAGACTAATTATTTAAACATTTTTGTTTTTTCTGCCCCTGAGCTATAAGACTTAATAAATGGTTTTTACCATGACAGGTTACCTGACAAAGGTAACTTAAAACCATTTACTAATTATTTATATGCTTTATAGCATATAAAAAAATATAACTGTAGGAAAAATATAATGTGTAACACGAGTGAAAAAGGCCTTTGCTGCACTCGAGATCATTGTAAACATTGCTCTCGTGTGCAGCAAAGTGCCACTTTCACCACTAGTTACACAAATAACTATTTCACCACACTATGATGTTTTTAGCTGTTTTACATACGTTAATTGGTGGCTGAAAGTTACGTTTTGCTGGCCATGCCAGCTGTCGTCATTATTTGGGGACCGAGCAGGTTTTTACATCCCTAGGACCGCAAAATCAGCTGCCCGCTTACTTACTTAAAACATGAATGCATATTAAATACACAATCAGTATCCATAGCATTGCAATATAATTGTTTTACTGTCACCGTTGCCTAGCAACTATTTATTATTATTTTTGCTGATTCTCCTCAAATTATTTCTTCACATAACCTTAAAGTTGTAGTTGGGTTGACTAACAGTGTGCATTATTTTTGTGGTGAATAGTGGTAATAAGGTATAGTGTGGTGAAAAATAGCGTTCGTACCACGAACCGAAATGGTTTTGCAGATCTCGATCGTTTTAAGTTCTCGACTTCGTCTCGAACTTGTAAACGAAAAACGGAAAGGCATCATAATGTAAGATATAATTATAAGAATATATACTCAAAGTTATCTATTTCAGAGTACAAATAAAAAAGTTCCAAAATTAGTCTACGTTACAACGCAACGCAAAGTGTTCATGCTGGGTAACAAAGTGCATTGTCACCTAACTGTTGTTTGGCTACAAGTTGCCTACTCCTCAGACTAGTCGGAGTTGTATGTTTGCCTCTGGGATGATGTACTACAGTCAAACAAGCCTAGAGTAGATTGACTGATCCATGACGCGTAGATTTCTCCAGGGTTTGAAGCGACGTCTAGTTCAACAACGAACTGAGAGCTGCTTTCAGACCTGAGAAACCTTGTACTTGCTGGTACAATGACCTTAAGTACTAAGTTGGAAATTAGTATGTTATGTAAATACTGATTTCCCTACAAGATTAAACTCCAACGTCATACCAAACTTGCATTCTTAGTGAATTCCTACAGGTAGCATTTTTAACCATGTTTTAAAGGAGAATATTTGGATCACGTCTGGTAAAATATGTATCAGTGAGTACTTAGGTTTGTTGCTATAAGGGTCACAAATCGGCTTTTCAATAGTCAAAAGCTGTCTATAAAAAAGAGGGGTTTGTAATTATTTTTACGAAATATACTAAAATTGGTTTGCTATAGGAAAATCAAGAATCGAACAAGCAATTTGGAACATCTATTTATCCTAAATTAGGAGAATAAGGAGTAAAACTCGTTCACATCAAAGACACATTTGTATTCTATGAGTAGGAAAATATGCTTAAAAGGCATTTTATAATTAATTAATACTTTGATTGTGCAGCACAATGTCTGTTATATGCCAGCCTTATAAAAAAATCACTACTGTATACTATTTTTTCACAAAACTATTATTAATCATGTGAAAATCAATGGTCAAAAAGTCTTTTTCACCACATTACGATGTTTTTAGCCGATTTACAAAAAAGCATGTCAGCTGTCATCGTCATTTGGGGACCGATCAGGGTTTTAAATCCCTAGGGCCGAAAATCAGCTGCCCACTTACTTTCTTAAAACATCAATGCATATTAAATACACAATTAGTATCCATAGCATTTTTTTTTTACTTTCATTTTATTTTACAATCTGTTCAGTACTGTGAACAATTAGTGAAAGGGATAATATAAATAAGTGTCTTGACCAAGAATCTCCCCATTGAAAGATCTTGCAAAATTAAATAGTCATGTCATAACTAAAACTATACAAATCGGTATGGGAGTTCAAGACCTTTCACAATTTTCAGTCTATCGGGAAAATCACTATTGTCCAGCAAATTAACGGCTATATTTTTCGGGTGGGTTTCGAGTTTTTCTTGATAGTTCTTGATAATTCTTGTTATTTCTTCAATTACTGTAGGTATTCTGAAATCTTCATGGATTGTTCGATTGCAATATAATTGTTTTACTGTCACCGCTGCCTAGGAACTATTTTTTTTTGTGGTTTCTCAAATTATTTCTTAGCATAACCTTAAAGTTGTACTTATGTTGACTATTAGCATTAACTATTATTAGTGTGCATTTTTATTGTGTTGAATAGTGGTAATAGGGTGTGGTTACCATTCATCAGTAAAATCATTAATTGACTTAACAAAATCTCAGCTTAATTACTCGTTGTTATTCCAATAAATCACTGGAATGACTGAAAATTGTGTAGACATTTAATCAGCAGCAAACCTCATCACAAAAACAATCTCCCTCTGTCCATGTCACTGGATGAAGTATTTCAACTCAGCTGTTTGTGGAAACGAGGTGACTAAATTAACTACGTAGTCAAGAGAACAACTTTAGCCTACTGTGTGGGAGGGGTTCCATTTCATATCTTGTAACAAAAATTGTAAAAACCTGTTTTGTTTTACTGTATTTCAGATTTTGTTCTGACTCATTTCAAGATAATGGTTAGAAGAAAATAGAATGTATAAGTTGATTTTAGGTATTCTAATAGTAATGTATTAAACTATTACACCCTACCTTCTATAACAGAATGAGAAAATGCTTGGTGAACTAAATTTGATTTGAAACTTGTATTCAAAGAACCGGGTTGAACAGTCTGCCTTATTATACATTAATAATTAATTGTGGTATTTAGTACAAATCAATCTACAATATTGTGATTCTTATTTAATTGTATATATTAAGAATGGTAACTTTCTATTTTTTTTATAAAGGAATTGTCTATAGCCAAGTTCTACAAAAGGATATTTCGAAAATATTGTACAAACCTGTAACCATATAAGAACTCTTTGATCTTGGTTTTGTTATTTCCTAACACCGTGCCGGTCTGTGGCACAAAACATGGGAACCTGTCAAATTTGGAATTTCTTTGAAGTATGTCTATCTGAACAGGTACATTTTAAAATGAAGTTAAAACGTATCCATGCTAAACTTAAATATATTTAGGATTCGATTTCTAGCACTACGGTTTCATGCTACAGAGACAAATAAGTCATGTTTTGTTTGGGGGAGTTTTGGTGTATTTGTCTATGTGTATATTCTATAAAACTATGGGAGCCTTTAAAGGTTCCTTCCCAAAAAATATTGACATAAATAGGTACCGGTACTGATCATATTAAATAAGTTACAGATCCGGGACCTCATGTTTTACAATTCGATCACTGGTAACAGTTATACATATACTTCAAACCTACTGTACTTCCTACCTTCATGTACAAAAGATTGCTAAAACGTGACTATGGGAAGGCAACAAATTATACTATCCTTCAGAAACCTATTCAAGATTTTCAAAATCATCAACGGACAATTTTTCCCCTCCGATAACTCCCTCCAGTTAGTAGTTTTACATAAATTAACAATTTAGATTTTTCCTTGATTATAATGTTAATTCTTTAAAAAAAATTATTGCCTTGATCGTCATTACAACTTTTACGTTTCGCATGTAATATCAGAACGGGTGCAAGATGGTTGGCTAGACACGTAGGTACGAAAATCAATCAACAAAACAGATTTTCTGCCTCCGTGATCACTTTATATGTTGCTCGAACCATAAATTGCAAACCTCCTAAACCTGGTGGATTGAGTTGTTTATTTCCTTCACTAGAAAATCTTCAAAACTTCACCTTTAGCTGTGGGTTTCTTACAATATTTATTAGCACCAGTAGTTTAAATGGGGTTTCTCTTGCGATTTTCATATTTTTTACGGCCTTAAATGCGTAGGTGAACTGTTTATTTATGTACTTCCCAACAGTTAACAAAATGAATATAATAACTAACAAGATGGCTACATGGAACAGTACAAAAGTGGTAATGGCAAGAACATATACAAATAATTAAAACAAGTAGTAAATTAGTAACGTTTTTGTAATCTGAGCAAAATTTCTTTACACAAAAAAACTGCATTCGTTATAAGGGAATATTAAAATCATAAGACAACATAAGACAATTTGAAATTATTGGTTTTGTCTTTTCTCGGATATTTATTTTTGGACTACCAACGAATTTAGTTCGTCGTGTGGCCAAGATATCTTAATTAAGGCCTACTTTAATTTTGTGATATAGAGAAAAACAGTATAATATACTCTCACCCCAACTCCGACTGTTTGAAACGTGATTTCTTAGTAATTTTAAAAGCTCAAGATCTACTTTATATTTTCTAATATTCATGGTAGCAAAATGGGTACAAATGCTGAACAAAACAATAATACTCTCAAACTTGTTTATACATCAAACAATGTAACCATAATGTACTTATTAGTTTGTGGTAAAAGAATGTGTTGCTTTCATTAGACAGAATGTATACTTTTGAATATTTTACTTGGCCCGTTCCGTTTTTATGGAGCTTTTGTTGATGTCACATTTTCATCTCCAGTTTATTAAAGCAAACGATGTGCCAGAAGATTTCCCTTGTGGTGTTATTTTGCACTAGATTCCCTATTTAATAAACCTTGCCAACAAAGCAAATAGTATTGCTATCCAAAAGATGTATTGGATGTACTTTTTCTCATATATATTAAAATTTTAATGTTTTTATACTTCCCTGATATAGATTTTGCTTCGGGTTTTTCAACCATCGTAAAAAAAAAACTTAAACACGGTAAATTCGTTGGCAATAATTTTAACAAATTCAAAAAAATAAAACATTTTTTATTCTTTATATTCAAAATCGTCAACAGTGAACGCATATTTGTGGCTAACTAAGATTGTCAAGTTAAGGAAAAGCTGTGTATTACTTCTGTAAAAAAAGATAATTATGAAATATGATCTAGACTAGCAATTCCCAACCTGTAGGACTAGTCAAACAAGTCAAGGGTACGCAAAAAAATCTGTAATGGCGGACGCTATTTTCCGTTTGCAAGTTTGTCTATGGAGCAGCTGCAGTGACGTCCGGAGTTTTAAACTCCAGTCCAGACCATAAGTACTTTGTGAGGACATGGGTAATTTACACCACACTACTGTTGCATACAAAGGTAACGTGGCTATCTCGAGGAAAGGTACTCAAAAGATTATTTTGGCTCATGTGAGTATTTTTTTTAAAGAATTCATTTTCTCAATGGCAGTGAATTGGGTTCAAAATCTCGCTTACTTGGCAGACATATTTTCCCTAGTAAATTAACTCAACGCCAGCCTGCAGAACAGCTCAATGGACATTCAGGTGACCTGCGGTTATTAGGGAGCTTAGGTATTTTGATTCGACCATAGAATACTTTCTTTCTTTCTTATTAAATGGCGACCATACAAAGTAGGTATTTTAAGCCAAGTATGAATGGAGATGAGTGTAGGATGAGTGGCGCGATCTTGTAGTCTTGTTAGTGACTAAGGCCGACATTCCTTAGACAGAATAATAAAAACCAGCTGCGAGACTCAGCTTTGCCACTGAGGATTCCTCATCCTGGGTCGCCGGAATTTTACCCCCTGGAATTTACCCCTTGGGCAAAGCTGACATCACTATGACGTATTACCTTGAGCGCTTTAAAGTTTGTTCGCGGGCGGAATTTTACCCCCGTGGATTCTGTAATCTAATGAAAATAGACAGAGCATGTCACAATAAATAAATACACAATAAATAAATTGCGATAAATTAGATTAGGAATAAAAACCGAAATTTTACCCCTGTGTAGATATGGCAATTAGTAAGAATAATTTATTAAATATTCAGTATAATAAATCGTTAAAGAAATATTCAAAACAATTATTATTCATACAGGCGACTCGGCTTATTTACATATATTATTAAATACATGCTATTAAATTAAAACTGTAACAATAAAATTCTATTCTCTCTAATTTCTATATCTGGCCAGGGGGTAAAATTGGGGTGGTTTAAATTCCGGGGGTAAAAGTCCGGGGGTACAATTTCGCTACCCCCTCAACCTCAGTTCAATTGTTCATGTTTGAAAAGCTTGGTAGTACTATACCGACTTCACGCAGATCGTCTACCTGAAGACCGAGGATTCGGCGATGACACCAACCGAAGCATACGAATGAAGTTAGTTTGGTGATATTTTTATGTGGATGGTGCCGAAACCCCACCGGACTGGGGCTGTTCTAGGACCATGTCCTAGTCAGAAGAATGTTTCAACTTTTTATTATATACGATGGGAGGTGGCCGTGCTTTGGGCATCTCCGTCTCAATTCGGTGGAGCCGAACGAGCGAGTGCTGAAACCACTTAGGGTTTGTAGTTACGCGACCTGATTCGGGCTTCTATGTAATATCAAGTTTTGCCACCTACTAAATACTGTAATATTTTCTAACCTCGTCAGAGAGGGTGATATGACGATTTATCTAACTCATTTTATTGTTGACATGTTTTTTTTTATATTAGCCTATAGCTCCTTATTCTGTAACATATAATCCTACAACGTGAATGACCTTGTTTATATTGTGCAAGGATGGTGTGGGCTTTATATGTTGTGGGGAAATGTTTGTTTCGACCACTGAGCTATATTCTTATAGCTCAGTGGTTTCGACGAAGTAGGATTTTTGGTAATAGAATTAAAAACTATGGCATGTTATGGTTTCCACACTATATGAAAGTTGTGCTGCATGTCAACTAATTTAGCGTAAAATGTTGAAGGTTGTTTAAGTCATGAGGGAAGAAGAATAAGAACCCAAAACACAGCAACGAAATCGAAATGTAATAAAAACAAACACAAAGAAACGTCACTCACAACGACGGGTTAGTTATGAATGTGGAATATTAACCTGTTTATTTGGAAAAGAGAAGAAAAGGCTTCCAGAGAATAGATAATTGAGTCAAATTTTTAGGGTAAATATTTATTATTGTTTAGTTTAATTGATTGGTAGGCCTAGGCTGCATGATGTTACAATCTAATCCAAGTCAACACAAACCAATTGGCTACTGATGGAAGGCAACTTAATCTAATTAATAGGCCTAGTTGTATTTTGGATTGACCCAGATTTATTTATGATTTACCGGTACTGATTCAAACTTTAGTACCAGTATTTATATCCCGTCTTTTCTCAAACAGTAAATCAGTTTATGCCTCTAACACCCATGTGTGATTCAGAGCATAGCCTAGGCCTAGTCTGTAAAGGGATTTTTGTCCTAGGATGCTAGGCACGAGCCTGGGATTGTTTTTCACATTACTTCAGGCTAGACCTAGGGGTTGCGGCATTATCACTTGGATAAAATCCATTGATGACTTGACGGGGATCGAACCCGGGACCTCAGGGACTGAAGTCCCGCGCTCTAACCACTACGCCAGCTCGCTCCCCAGTCTGTAAAGGGGTAGAAAACATAAGAACGCAAATCACTGCTAGCACAATGGGTTACAACGTTGGTTGTCACATCCACTGCTCCAGGGCTAAAAAATCCTATAATATTTCTGTTAATTCATCTGTTTAGCTTAACTTACTTTACAAATGAAAAATGGGGAAGCCAGTTATTCGGTACACAACATTAGTCTGGGCTCTGGGCCTAGTAACTTATATCTCACAGTCATGATATTCATAGGTTAAGTTATTCTACCTTGTGTTGCACATGTAAAACCTAAAGCTTTTTTAGGGCCCTAACTTAGTTCTTTATTTTCTTCGTCAGGTAAGTTATTGCCTATAAAATGACTAGCTTGTAGATGTAGGGGATGGGTAGTCTATTGGATATTTCCGCTGATTCTATAGACATCCTGGTGAGTGTTTATACAGTGACCAGCTGGTTTGCGCTACAGTAGCAAACATTTCATTTTAGCACTGAAGATTCTTTCGAATTTGGCGTATATGATAAATAGGTTACATACCTCAACAAACAGCTCATTTTTATTGAAGGTCGTCTACATGTTTCGGCGTGTATCGACCATTGTCAAAACGTTGCAGTTGGATGGTGAAATCCTTGTCATTGTTTCACACTAAAAGTACATACACAAACACACATACACGGATGGGACGAAAACATTGCAAAACTGAATAAAACTTTGAATAGGCATATTACGTAAAATACGCAGGCAAGACGCACACCGTTCTCAAGGTCAGGATGCAGACTGAACTTCCATTCAATTTGGAATTTGGCGTACCACGGGTGCACTAAGACGTTTTTTAAAGCATATAATTTCTTTTATGTTAAACATATTTTTTAATCAATAACCACATTGTTAAAATTTATTATTAAACTTATAACTTAATTCTTTATTTTGATGGTTAGGTGGGTTGCTCAGTTGTTTTAGGTTATAGTGCTCGCCTATTAATCAAAAGGTAGCCGAATCGATCCAGAAAAAAGTGTGTAGTTTTTTGATGGTTCAAAACTAGACACAGCTGTCCTTGATCATTGGGCTTCCAATAAATGGTCTGACTAATAACATAGCTGCTTATAGTCAGTACAGTTACTGTCCCTGACCCGTTTCCATCAAACATTTTGTACCAACAATGTTGGGAGCTAAGTTCAAGTTGATTTGAGCACAGCTCCCAACAATGTTGGCGCGCTGTTTCCATTCCAGCAGTACGCGCCAACATTTCCCGCCAACCCCTCCTCCTACTGCGAGCACATTTCACTACCATCCACACCCACACACCTACCTACAACAGTGCAGCTTCATCATGGAGAGCGAAGAGACTGCTGCTGCTTTCGTCGTAATGGCTGGTGCATATCACCAATTAATTAGTAGAAAGCGACCGTGATGGTAGGTTAGGAGTTTTTTGGCTAAAAGGGCCGTTGAAGGTGCCTACAACTCCCTTATGAGGGATTTAAGACTTCGAGCAGGATCCCAAAATTTTGTACGAATGACAGCAACTGACTCTGAAGAATTACTAAACTTGGTGGCTCCTCTAATCGCTAAACATGGTGAGCGAGCGCAGTCCCATATCAGCTGGCAAAATGTTAGCAGCTACATTAAGATACTTGGATGGCATCACTCCTTTTATTAGAGTTTTTGTGCTTGCTGTTAGACACATCCCACAACACTGTCTCACTTTCATGCAAAGATATCAACTTTAACACTTCGTCTTTTCCCCAATCTTGACTTGACATCGCCATGGCCTCACTATACCGTCCAAAAGCCCAACACAACAAGATACACCGACACAACACAAGAATGTTTACACCATAAACAAAAACACGTGGTGTTGTTGGTGTTTAACCCGTCTGCTAGGCTAGAGGTGCGATGGTGCTGCGGTGGATGTGCTGGAACTACTCATAGAGCAAGTGCGCATGCGCGAGTTCTGCTACACCGTTTCCATTACCTTTTGAGCACAGCTCACAACAATGTTGTCAGCTGCAACGGCTGCCAACACTTTTTGTTGGCCAACACTGCTCAAAACATTATGCTAGTGTTTCCATTCAACATTTTACTCCAACTTTGTTGTGAGTTTAGCTGACAACAATGTTTTGAGCAGAAAATGTTTGATTGATACAGGGCTTCGAAGCATCACAAGGCATCACACTCCATTCTATACTCCCTTCACTCTTGGGTTATTTGCGTTAAAACATGTACATAGGTGGCATCCCCATCTTAAATGGTAATGATAATAATAATAAAATCTTGTCCTATTTAGAAAGTTAATTTAGGGATAAGTTAAGCAGCTACTTTTTACTCTGAAATTCTAACCTTTTAACCACTAAGTTATATGATTAGGGTACTTAGGCCTAATTAATTTCATGATATTGTATTCATAAATTCGTTAAATCATCAAAATAAATAGGGTCACGGATGGAAGCCTACACCTAACTTAATTGTCTTTTTTTGTTTAATCCTAGCCTGTAACCCGCCCGTCCAGGAAAAGTAATACACTCACTTTTTAAGCATTTGACACATTAAGCTATTTCCTCATTAGACCTATTTTCCTTACAGGCAACATGAGCCGTTATTCAAGTGATTCAGACTCCTATGATAGCAGCCGCAAAAGACGGGGGAAAAAAGGAAGGTAAGCTCAAATACTAGCCTTGACTAGATATGTAGGCCTAACTTTATCGATTGAAACTGTTTTATTAACTTAATAATTTAGGCCTACTGTACCAATGAATCCAGAAAATGTCTGATTGGGTTTTAACTTTCAATAAGAGTGTAGTTTTGGTTGTAATTTCTTAGCTTTTTTTTATTTAATTTAATAGTAGGCCCTAAATAATTATGAATTATTTTGGCTCAATTATGTTGGTTTGTTTCTTAAACTTAATACATGTCTTCTACTATTTTTTTTATAGGCTACCTAGGACTAACTTACTTTACAAATTGTAAGTACCCATACCAAGAGCATCGTTAAACGCCAACTCCTTCAAAAATACTTAAAAGGAAACTTTAAAAAACTAGACTTTTTTATGTGAAATTTTGTCTTTAGACTAGGTACTTTTAGCTCATAACTTTTATTCATATTTATCAATGTAGCCTAATATTTCATAAAACTTTTACGATTGTGTGTTTTTATAATAGTTTAAGGACTAAGTGGTCATAAGTTATTGCTTGCTAAATCATAACCTAGGGCCATTCCGTCGTCACGGGTGGGACAGTTAGACGTGTTTAATTGCATTTTAAAGACAATATATTCTAAGTTATAAAGCACAGTTCAACAAAAACTCTATTGCTGTATTCACTAATAGTTATACAACTACTGTGGATTATTTTAGAGCTGTTTCTTACTTAACAAGAGAGTTATAACACTTTAAAAATCTGTCACGGGTGGGACAGAAAAAGGAAGAGCCACTATGTATCATTCTAAAAAAGTACCAAACTCTGTGAAAATACAAAACAGAACTGAATGGTAATTTTTATTTGGATAGATTAAAACACCCTTATTTTAATATCTCCAAAAATTAAATCTCTATCTTCAATACATTAATTTAAATTTAAATTTAACTGCTGTCACGGGTGGGACACAGTAACTAAAACAATGAATAATGACAACAAAAATAGTTTGTATTTTGAAAACTTTCTATACAAGGTTTGTTACACTTCAGATGAACTGCAAAACTTAGAAATATAAAGAATCTTCATACTTCTTCTTGTCCTTCTTCATTCTCTCCCGCAGCTTTCTCATCCGCTCGGCTGAAGATTAAAACATAGCTTATATTAGAATAAATGTTATAGTCAGTCAAGCAATAATGGGGTGTGACAAAGGTCAATCTATGAACTATAAATCACTGCCTTAAAAATTCAGCTTATATGCCTACATCTAGGCTGTAGATAATTACCAGCGTAATGTAGGCTAAAGTGTCACGGGTGGGACAGATAATAACTAGTAAATTAAACCATATTTAAAGCAAACTTTTTAAATTTACATCATTTTAATGGCTTTGTTGCAGTTTTTATTGTTACAACCATGACAATTGAAACATAACCTAAAATGTTATGTTACTTGAATTTGACTTCTTTATCTTTTTCTGTCACAGGTGGGACAGTAGGCCTAAATATATCTTAAAAATATTTAGATTAATTATTACAATAAATGTTAAAACAATCTAGAATTAATGGGCTGTGATTATGATTTAGCCATGAACAGAAAAACACTGTCTGACATTTTAGGCCTAAGTCTAGGTTGTGGATAACTAATAGCATACAATAAGTGTCACGGGTGGGACAGAAAATTGACTATTAATTTCAACTTAATATACAACAAATTTTAAAATGTAACACCACTGACAGCTATGCTGTATACCAATTGTTACAACCATCACAATAGAAGCATAACCAAAAAATGGTATGTTATTAGTATTTAACTTTTTATTCTTTTTTTGTCACGGGTGGGACAATAAAACCTCTTAATCATTTAGGACAAATGTTAATTAATATATAAGACTTACCTGAAAACAATCAAGATGGGTCTTAAGTTGACATTCTTCTCTATCTGTTAAACACAGTCAGCTTCTATGTGCCCTTTTAATAAGCAGGTAAAGTGATGCCAAACTTACAACAAAAAATTACCCCCTTACCAACGCTTGATTTCCCTAATCTGTAAACTGAAATATCAAAAGAAAAAAAAAATTTCCTAAAATTTTTTTTTTTTATTTCTTAAAATTAAACATGTCTAGATAGTAAAAACAGTAAAAAACAATTAAATTTATATAAATTGGTTTTTTCTTACTAGGCTCATTTTCCATGGAATGGCCCCCTAATAAATCCAGTTTTAAACCTGTTAACTGTCAGCAACTTCACTAAAAATTTGAATCTGGACCTACCTGTGTTTTTGTGACCCTACACCTGTTGCAATAATTTATAAGTTTGTTGAGACTTGAGAGGGGATGTTTAAAACCGTGGTCTTGTTCTCTTTTACTTTGACATGTTGTTAGATAGCATTATTAATTGATCAACGCAATTACAAATGGCTGCCATTGTTCGTGACCATTGGGCTAGTAAAATAATTCCCAGTAAGCTTAAGAAATGTAATGACAACTTGTGCCAGATATTCATACTAAAGATTTCATCAAACATATAATACCTGCTATCAAGCAATCCATTTAGTAAATGGATTGCTTGATAGCAGGTATTTAAACCTTTTTAATATTATTTGGCAATCCGGAGGCTACATCCACAATGAAACAATGATGTACATTTTCAGATCCAGGTCCAGCAGCCGTTCTACCACAAGTAGTAGACATAGGAAAGAAAAGAAATCAAAAGGGAAGAAGAAAAAGTCACGATATTCTCGCTCTAGAAGTAGAGAACCAGTAAAGTCCAAGTACGTCTCTTGATATTTGTTTTGTTTCAAAGATAACATATTCTGAACTTTAAAAATCTAAGTAGGCTATCTTTCAATAAATAATCAAAACAAAGCCTACCTTTGTAAACCTGTATAACATTGATATTCAATTAGGCCTACTTCATAAAACTCATTATTTTTTAATCAACAGATAAAAAGTGTTAGACAGCATTTAAAATTACAAACGAACACAAACAATAGTCAACTGTACGACATAGGCCGGTTTCACACGAGCCACAAAACGCCCAACAATCGCGGAATGCCGCTTCTGACTGTTTTGGCGCGCTTGTGGCACGAAAATCGCAGCCTGACGCAGAAAAGAAGAACCCCATTGACTTAACATTGGAGCGCGGCGTGCCTTTCACACGAAGTGGCGTCTTTTTGCGTTTGACGCTAGAACGCGCTGCAATCTCCTACAGTGGCTCTGTCCTCGACAATTTTTGCGTTTGTAGCTGGTTATTGCCTCTCAGACAGTTAAAACAACTAGTTAGCCTGTTTTGTTCTGAAATTTCTTTTGATTTTTTTTAATTAAGTTATGTCTGACTTTGACAATCTCTCTGACATTCTGTAGTAGGTGAAAAACTTTTCAGGATCTTCACGGAGCTCAGAGTGTATAGTGTAAAATTGGCTTGACACCAGCCTTGAACTTAAAATCGGATGAACCCAATATATGCGGAACACCTTTCTACGACGTCGTACCGCATGAAGAAGCATTATAAAAAATAAGCCTTCTTCATCGTCCATTGTAGCACTGAACTGCACTCGTTAGGTTATATAACCTAATATAACACTGAACGGCACTCGTAGTCTTTCCAAGCGGAATGGTGTTCTGGTGTAGTTCAGGGAGGTGCGATATGAAATAGCGATAAACTGATGGAAATCGCGGAATCATGATTTGGCCATCTGAAAGGTCCCACACGATTAAGCGCCGCTAGTGGTGCGATTCTGCCGGCAATTGTGACTCGTTTGTGGCTCCTGTGAAACTGGCCATACAGTTGAACTTTAATTATACTCCAACGATTCGAATTGCTGATTATCTAAATTTTTGGCATAAACTACAGTTCTTAATAACAAATCACAGTCATGTAGACATCATCCTCGGTAACTGAAAATCCTCATTGTCTTCTGTAATTACGGCAAAACAATGACTTTTTTCATGACAAATCTTATCAGACACGTTCCTGGTATTGAGATAATAAAATCTCAGCCCGTTTTTATAAAATACCCCAGATTTTGGTAAAAGTTCAACTATCTGAATGGTTTATTATTATTATTGGAAAGTGGTATAGTGTAAATCAGATAGGCTAATTGGAGTTCTACAATATATAAGACTGTTCCATCATGGATGACTATCTATACTAAAACAGGATTTGGGTCTACTATCTCATTATAATTCAACCTGTTAAAATATAGCAAGTTTACTTTTATTTTTGGTAACCAATCAGAATAAAATAGCTACCTTATTTGCCTATAACCTCTTATTCCTATTTTTGCAGAAGTTCTCGTCGTCGCTCCTCGCCAGACAGTCGTTCTCATAGTCGTAGATCATCAATAGACTCCTCCAGATCACGAGACAGATACAAGCGGTCGTATTCTCGATCTTCATCTCGGAGTAGACGGAGATCAAGGTCTCCTTCATACAAATCAAGAAGTAGGAAGTATCGTTCAAAATCGAAGTCTCGATCTCGCTCAAGATCCAGTTCTAGATCCAAACACAGGTCCAGGCGACGCTCAAAGTCTAGCAGCTCAGATAGTTTCCACAGGAAAAGATCCAGTTCTTCAGAATCCCGTTCAAAAGACAAAGTAACTAAAAAGTCAAGATCTCGCTCCAGCTCGCTACAGAGTGAGCGAAGTCAGAAGAAGGGGTCAAAGAAGAGTAAAATCAGTAGTGACAAAATGTCTGTGCAGAAGAAGTCGGTGTTTGATTTAGAGAAAGTTTTAGGTAAGATTCATCATCTGAAATTCCCAGTAAACATGTATTTCAGATGTAAATATTACTAATGAATAATGATTGATTAAAATCAAGATAAGATATTTTTTTATCTTTGCAAATTAATTTAGTGATGGATGAACTAGGTTTCAGTGGTATAAAGATAATTTATTTAATCCATACCACAGTGGGACAACCGTGCGCTTTTAGCTCTGGTAAGTTAGGTTGGAATAGAAATGTACTAGTATCGAGCAAGGAAGAGCTTAAACAGTGATCGCCACACAGCATATTTTTGTACAGCAGTTGTAGCGTACAGAGTCTTACTACTGCGTGAGCGCTGTAGTAGGTACGTGATAACAAAGGGAAAAGGAGAGCGGGAGGGGATGACGAATAAAATTTGCTCTAGACTAAGAGTACCATTGAATGTATCCTGTGTTTCTTACTTCTTCTTTACTTTTAGGGGGGGGGGGGGGCTAACGGGGTGTCAAAACCATTTTTAAGATCCAGAACTGTGTACAAAAACCTCTGTTCAAACATACAACCAAATATTCAACCAATGGGTGGTTTAGCCCGTAAGATCCTCCCCCCTTGAAACCGCCACTGATTATCAGAAGACCCTACCCTTTAAGTTACCAATACAAAACTATTGTACAGTCAGCTAATCACTAGATCTGCTTTCTACACCTGTTCAGGGCAGAACCTAAATCATTAACCTCCTTGTAAAAAATTACAAAAATATCAATCTTTTACAGTTTATATTAATTTTAGATTTTATTATAATTTTGTACCTACGTTTTGTTATGCAACTTTCAGGGGATCAACCAAATCGTGGCTCGTTGATTGAAGAGATTAATGCTACAACCTTTGTCCAAAAATCGTTTTCATCTAATAAAGTTGACACAGCTGCTTTAACAACAGTTCCACCTCCAAAGTCTCGCTCTACAAAATCTAATGAAAGACCAGAAAACTTGTTTCATCCCAATGTAAGTATAGAGTTTACATTTGAAATATTTTTCTTCATTTGTTCAGCAATTGCCATTACACTTGTTTCTAATTACAAAAAAGTTTGAATTAAAAGTCTTGGTTTAGCTACTTTTACATTTTTAACATTAAAATAAAGGTATGATTTTTAGGTCTATAATTCTACATGGAAGTTAGCCACCTGAAATTCTAACTAAAGGAAAGTACTGTCTTGCAGTATGATTTCTAAATATAACCGAGAGTTTGAAACATATTATATATATTAACCTACTGCTAACATGACACCTACTTTTCATGTAAATATCCAGGTTTTTGTCCCTGTTTTACTTTCCATTTGGCAATACAATTAGGTAAAACATCTCACTCTCTTAGTAGATTCCTTATCCTTATGGAACAGCTGAAGCCAATTTTATTGTTAGTTCTGTCCGGTGCACTGTATATTTCGTGTTTTGTTTACAATTTGTTTCATGTTGCTTCAGTTATTTAAAACCTCGTTCAACCAAATAAAACTATCTAGTCAAAAACAATAACTCATCCCCTAGTATAACGAAACAGTAAAACACAAATCATTAAATTAACCCTAAAATAATAGAAACAAAATGTTGTCGACACTAGCTGTCAGGGTCACTGGACATGAACTAGACACAAAAAACGAGGGTTCAAAATTTAAAATGGGACGAGAAGTCTACTTGTGTTGGTTAGTCTATGACATTACTGAAGGGCTTGCTAGCAGTTTTGTTTAGTGCTGATACCTGTTGGGCTCTTGTGAAACTACGTCCACAACAACGAAAACGGACTATAATATGCCTCTCCGATTGGATGAAACTAAATTTAAACATTTTCGCGCACTCATCCATGCATTGACTGCTCCCGCTCCTGGCAGCGACCGGGCCATCACGCAACCGCAGTGAACGTGTCCCAAAATTGTCTTTAGCTAATTCATAAGAATGATAGAACCATCCAAAAATGTCGTAATATGTAGTAAAGAGTATAAAAAACATATTTTTGTTTCAGCTCTTGGTGGAAAACAAAGAAGAAAAGTTGAATCGCTGGGTCAAAAAACTATATCAAATTCGCCAAAGATCATTAAATGGTGGATTAATAGAATTGTAAATAAACCTATTGATAGAAACACTTCATAATTATTTTCCTGAATGAAACATTTGTTGTATTGTTAAAAGACTAGTCTCTAGTAACCCTAGTTAGTGTTATAATCCGTGTTATAGAATACTGCATCATCAGTGAATGCTACATTCCAATGTGCTATTCAATTTCGAATTTTAAATAAATGTTGCCACACAAATAACATAAAATATAATGTGTCTTGGGTTTAGTTTGAATTTAATATTCTGCCTGGTACATATGAAGACCCTTCACAAGTTCAATTTTGAGTTGTCAGTTAGGATTGTCAATGTCACTACTAATCTGACGCAGCAGCAACGTACATATACTCACTGCCACATAAACACACATTTAGTTTGGTGTGTCAATTGGACAACAATAGAAAACCAAAAATAAAACGCGATACAATACAAAAGCCATACAAGTTTACAATATTCAGTACACAGGCAAATCATCAGTTGTTTATTGAGCAAAGGATTACCCTGAACATTACTCCCAAACTCCAAGGGAAAATTAATAGATCCGGTCAAATATACTGATTATTTTACTTGGCTCTCTCCTACCAAAATGTAATCCCCGAAGCACTGAGGAAATTGTTTAGCAAACTTATTTGGCTTAGCAGTTAAATATATAATATTATATTATTTTATGTAAATTAGAATAGAATTCAAACATAATATAAACAAACTATCAGACTATTATAAATTAGTTATTTTCACCATCAACTGTAAAATAAATTAATGTTTTGTGGATTCCTAGGTTAAAATTTCCATCATAAATTTTAAAAAATTCGACTGAAACTGTAAATAGTAAAAGCCAAAATTACTTGTAAATAAAACGTGATTTTCCTTTATTGATTCTTCAATAGAAATAAACATTGCCTTGTCATGACTCGAGCCTGGTACTATTAACTATAAGATTTTTTAAATCATACAAAAACTTCTCATCAGGGCTACGCAGGGGCGTGCCAAAGGCGAGTTACATGTGGTTACATATTATAACTTTCAAATCCTATCTACAGATCTAATTAATAATTGTATCAGCAAACTGACACATACTTTCTCCGATGAGCTTGTCAACAACCATTATCATAGGCAAGAGTTAGGTGAACTATGATATTTTATAGGAAAAAACAAAAAAGTTGCAATAGCTTTTGAACTGTATTTTTACAGCAATGGGGGGGGGGTCAAAAAAATTTTTTGGTTGCAGTTTACTAATTGCAATGGGAGCCTACAAGCATGGCTAAAAAAATGACTAAAAAATTTAATACCTAAAATGTTCTGCAATTTTCATAATGGTCATTAATGGTTACAAATGTATTTTCAAAATAAGTAGATTTGAGCCACAGACTACCCCTCTTATACTTTATTACAACATTTTTGGAACAAAACATCAACTGTAAATTTAAATTATGTTCCTTTCTGATTGTTTAGCTCGTATTGGATTTTAATGATGAATAAATAACTTAACTTTAAAATTCCATGATGCACAAAATACTATTTTTATTTGGTAGCTTCTATGAGTTAACAATTCGTTTTAAAACTATATATTTTCAGAAATTTTATGGGAGAAGGCCCCCGGACATCTGAATTGAATGTTTGTTATCTATTGCACCCCCCCCCCCCTGTTCCAAATCCTGCGGGCACCAATGCCTACAAGTTAAGTTTAAGCAGATTTTAGCACAAATTCCAGGATAAAAAATTTCTTTGAAGAGATAATTGCGGCTTTTGTATGGACAACTTGTACGGTGTTTTAAATTTTTAACTTGTTTGTGGGGGGGATACATATCCGTCAGACACTGCTCTGCTCTAGGGCAAGATACTGGGTTGTTCACTATAACGATAACTCCTGCGGCTGACCAATCAAACAATTTATTGTTTTATCAAAGAAACCTCATCTTAATATATTATATCTATTTGCAACCTATTTTTGTTGTCACAACTATTAAACCCAAAGCCTAAACAAATATTGTTAAATCTGCCCTAAAATAAAATCTTTATTGATACAACACAACCAATGATTATAAGTCATTGGTTCCTTGGGAGAGTCGAAATTCACCAAGGAATAAATAGCCCCACCACAGCAAACCTGCAGACTAAGCGAATTTCAACTTGTCTGATTACATTTTTACAAAACTATTTTCATAAATAAGGCCTATTTATTCCCAATTTAAATAACATTAGATTTAATGAGTGCTTAATTTTGCTGCTCCGGGGAAGGTAAAAAGTGTTTTTTTTTTTACCAAACGTCAATAATATAGGATGAAATAAATAAATTTGCCAAATTTTATCAAGATATAGGTATCCAGAAACTTGTACAACAGTTTTCATTTTCTCCATAAGAATAACATGGGGATTTTAAATTTACATTTTTTGAATTTTCTCCGTAACCATTAGGCATACAACAATGCTTAAATATACTAAATTATTTCCTTTTTAAGCTCTACAAAATGGTTCCAAAGAAATTCCAAAATTTTATGTTTTTAGGATCAAAAATGGGGAAAGCCCATTTTTACCCAATAAAACCCGCCATAAACCACCGTACCTATGGTCCAATCATGCTGGTTCGCGAACTCGTTCGAAAATGTAGGTTTACACGTTTATACCAAATTTAATCAAAATCGGATGATTTTTGTTCGAGTTATCGTGCTAACGGACACATAATATGTGTCCGTCCGTTAGCACATAATATAATTCATATATATGAATTTGAACGGTTTTTTTTTTGCATCTGGGGACCTCAAAACTCAAAAGTAAATGGGTCCCAGGTCCATAGGTACATGAGACCTGAATAATAGCATTGGGAAATTCACTAAAATGAAAACAGAAAAACTAGTGACCAAGACGTAGCAGCTGCATGTTCTGATGAAGCCAGCTGACTTTGGTAAAGAAAAAGACAGGTCGACTCTATAAACATAACCTAACTTTTTAATCATTAAAAAAACTGTCATTCTTAGTGAAAGTGTTAAAAGTTACAACTCAACACGGGCCCAGGCACAAAACAAAACTACATTAATAAGTTAAGTTAGTCGATGTTGATATAGTTTTCAATCTACAACTTTGGTGAAGATAACAGTTCCAATGAGTTAGAGTAAGGTATGACAAATGCCATAGGAGTGATTGTAAGGCCTGGCCTATGATGCAATGCAAGTGTGTTAGGCTAGTACCTATCTTGTAAACTTAACTTATTAGCACTAAGTTACTGAATCGTTAAAATGAATCATGTCAAACAAACCATCACTCTCAGCGTTGTAATTGGAGCTATCTGCGTGATGTTATTCCCGGTTTATAAATTTGTTACCTTTTATATTCCTGAAAAAGTCAAACTTGCCAAGTGCCCATTTTGTCTAGGGAAAGATATGTGTTCATACATAAATGCAGAATTAAATTTAAGCCAATACCATTTTTGGATTAATATGCTGAATATTTTGCTGGATAAACCCTTAATATTTGGATCAATCGACAGGCAAACCGTTGTATTGAAGTGGGTTCAGAATGAATATGTTGACAATTTTCAACCTGAGGATTATACAGACATAAATTCAAACATTGAATCGATGAGACTAAGGATTAATCAACCCCGTGATGAATCATTGGAAGACTTCCTCCTATGTCCAACTACTGAAAATCTAGGTGATTTTCTTAAACCAATTTTAGTGGATGGAAAAAATCATCAATTGCATAGACCTGTGACAATTGAGCTGCATCAAAATATAATTTACACTTTGCAAGCTGACAAGGAAAATCTCGTTCAGCAGGTAAGTTAATTAAGTTAACTTAAGTTATATTGAACTAGCCGAAACTTTCCTGTTAAGAGAAACATTCATTATTATCGATGATGTCTTTTCGATTTATCGATATTTTTGTTTTTCTTTACAATCCATATTCCATCTGTTTTAATATCTTCAAAAATTACAGAATGACAGACAAACAGGCATAGCAAATACTTTATGTCTAAGTTATAGGCCTACTTGGTTCAATAATCGAGTTATTGAGTTATAGCTCGTATTAAGTTATATAATAGGATTATGAACTAATCTTGTTTAGGCAAAAACAATAGCCGTTATATTGGATTAAGAAACAAAACTATTCTAACCCAAAAAACTAACCGAACTTGCTGTAGGCTAAGTTACCGTTTCAAAATTCCGTTTGATAATAGAATAAGGCATAGGCCTATGGGGAATAATAGGCTATCAAACGGAATTTGGAAATTTTACAGCAAGTTTTGTTAGTTTACTTATGTTAGCTTAGAACAGTTTCATTTCAATATAATTTTTTGTATTGTTTGTTGATACTGAATAATATATATTTATCGTAGTTGTCAGCTGATAAGTTTCAATTTGTTAATATCAATATATCGAATAAAAAAATAAACAATTGATATCGGAATATATCGAAAAGAAATCATTTATAATAATGAATGTTCCCTTTAACAGTAAAGTACAAACTAGCCTAACTTAACTTATCCCTTTCAGACCCGGGAATCTTAGTCATCTCGACCGCTTTAAGTCCTGAGGAAATTTTGAATAAATGTTGGTTTTTAACCTAGATTTCAAATTCTAAAATTATTGATTAGGTTTGTTTTAAAGACGAAACCTTCATAATACCATATTAACCATTTCAGTTTCAGCAATAATTAGCATTATATATACGTTTAAAAACAAAAATGATACAGTCATTAACCTTAACAGTTGCCTCTTTCTCCTATCTTACCGTGACATTGCAACAAAACAATCAGTGTTACCATAAGACATGAAGGCAGACTGCAAAACAAAAATTCCCAGCTGATCTCCATAACCTACACAATCGATGTGCTGAGCAACAGAAAGATCTAGAAACTTCAAAAAAACAAATAAACATCTAACCTACACAATTGTGTTGGTTAGGTTATCAGGACTGAAAAATTTACCTACACAAATGAGTGTGCTGGGTCTGAAAGGGTTAAAATGGTTGTAAGATAAGTTAAACATGACTAAACTTAAACATTGAGTGAAACATTGGGTGTTTTGAAACTGGAGTAAACTTTCGACACCCCATCTATATCTTTAGGTGAGTCGGTGGCTCAGTCGGTAGCGTTGCAGACTTCGGGCCCAAGGCAGAAGTGTCGTGGGTTCGGATCCTGGTCAATGCCACTAACTTTTATCAGTACAGTTCACCTTTTTACTGTACTGGCTCACCCCTTGCTTTGCTGGATACGTTCCACGCACAGATCTGTAGTCTATGTGGACGGGCAAATGCAAGGTTAAAAGAGGCCGCCAACCTCTTTAAAAAAAAATATATATATTAGATGAGGTATAAATAACATTAGGTAACTTAATTTGAATGATTATGAGATTTCAGAGGTTTGCTTCTACAGGGAAGGTATTGAAGTGTTTTTTATTTATTTATTTAAATGTTGATAGGTAAGTTAGGTAGCCTACTAGCTTAGTATGAAATAGGCTAAATAAAATTGCCAAATTTGATTAAAATATATATATGTAGCCTATCAATAAACAAGCAAACAAGCATCAATAAACAACAGAAACCATAAGAACCATAAGAAATTGTGGAATGTTAAATGTTTTTAGGAACCAATTTTTACCCCATAAAACTTTGGGGTAAAAATTGTTCATGTAGTAAGTTCCTCTAATATTTTAGGCTACACTGAGTGTGTACACTTTTAAAGTGAGTAACATTGAATAAACAATAACATCTTCAGACAAAAATAAAATCTGCTGATTAGTTTGTAAATAAGTACGTTGATTTTCACCACAGCTAATATAAAAAGTTTGGATGTTTTGTGTGAACTTTAAAGACAGTAAAAAGGTGTGCAATTGTAAAGCCATCCTAAAGATAGATAATTGATAAAAAACACTTTAGGGGTTATGTAATCTTTTATTATTGTTTGAAATAATCTAAAATCGCTTAAAAATAACTTGAAAAGCGGACGGAGACTGTTGCATTGTTGTGGCAGACTTTAGCCGCATGCCTCGGCATGCACTACAACTAACCTCCAGTGGTCACGTATTACTAAAGCTATATCTCAGTTAATATTCGCCCAATCTTAAAAAGTAATGTGTCAATCGATTTATAATTAAATTACCTTATAAAAGTTCTTGTAAAATATTTGTAAATCAACGGTTTTTGAGTAATAGGCTACCTATTTAAAAAACAAAATTTTAAATTACTGCCATTTTGTTTTATGAATTTTAAAAATTGTTATAATTTTGTTATAGCTTTGTCTAGTTGTCATAAATGTTTGTGCAAAGTTTCAATTTCGTATCTTTTACCTTCTTAAAAAAAACAATAAGTGAAAAAACAAAATGGTGGCTTTGTGAGTAACTTACTTCAGTTTGACTTGGTTGAAAAACCTGCATATTTGTCTGGAATCAGTGACTTAACTTATATCAGCACGAATTAAATATAGCCTGTCGGCCATGCTGTAGTTACCATGGTTACCATTAGGTTCAGACGCACACCACTGGGAGCGCCGTGTTTACGTAGCGCGTAAGCTGTAACTGCATGGCGCTCCCAGCGGTGTGCACCAGAACCTAACCGCAGCATGGGTGTTGGTCTGTATTTAACTTAGCCTAATTCTTTTTGTCTATGCTCATACCAACTAGGCCTAATCCTTTTTGATGTAAAAACTGGCACCAACTTTAACATGACGATGGAATATCTAACTTGGTTTTATCAATATATAAGTAGGCTTAGAAAAAAAGCTTTTTAACTGTTTCTTAAAGTAAAAAAAATATGACAATACCATTGTGGATACAGTCTGTAACAAAGTAACTTCGAAATATTTGTTATTATGGCTGACATTGGTAAAAGTTGAATTGGCTAGATATTTTCACTCACAAAAAATTTATTATTATGTAAAACCTAAGTTATCCTCTTAAAGTTTTTTGCACGCTAAATCTGAAAATCGCATCAGTTTTTGTCAGAAATAGTTATGCGTGAAAAAAAATTGAAGATTGTGTCTACGAATTCACAGTTCATTGAGCTGTTTGGATGGTATCATGGCAGTTTGACAGTTTTTTCCTGTGACGGGCCGGAACTGATGTGTGTGAATCGACCTTACCTGACATGTATGTACCAATGAGAAATTTTACAGGGAAGGCTGTGGCCACTCAAGATCATAGGCTGAGCTGAGACTGTATTTGCTAGCATATCAGCACCCTGGTTTCCTTCTATCCCGGAGTGTACTGTCCAGGGACCTAACAGAGCATCACGATGTTGTACTGATCAGAGCAGATACTGGTTGTGAGGACCTTGGACCTGAACTCATAAGAGCGCAATGCCTTAATTCACTGCAGCCTGGTTGTCTGCGAAAATGGAGATGTTCTTGACTCTAAAGCCCTGCCTCAGTGTCGCTAGGTTCTGCCAAGATGCACTCCGATAAAGAGACAAAAGTCAAACGACGTTCTGCTCACTGCTTATTTCAGCCCCTGTCCTATCTGTTTATCTTGAAACCATCTGTGTACCATATCAGGTCCCCATGTGGATCTCTGGACATACATTACATTACATTACCTACATTATTTGTCATGAGAGCCGAAGCCCCCTGACTGCATACCCGGTACCTATCGTGAGACTTACCCGGGCCCCATGATGTAGGCCGAAGCTTACGCATCAACCTTTAGCACATCATGGGCGGATGACTTAAGGTCATCAGGCTCGCCGGCTGCCGAAGCAGACCCTTCGGAAGGAGGGTTGCCCCTCAATCCTAACCAGGGATTCCGGCTGCTTGTTTAAGCGTCACTCCATCTGGGTTCCACTAGGTCAGGACCTAGAGGTCCATGGTAGAGCGCCCCGACGCATTTAGTGCAAGCAACACTCGGGACCTATCTAATCCCTGACAGGCAGAACCCGCCATCAATAGCCAGGAGGAAGGGGACCGTCAGCAACCCCAACCTCCCATTTACACCACTACCCGATCGAGGCCTTACCCATTGCTGGGAAACCAGAGATAACCAGAGCGATATATCCCCAGATACCCCTGGCGGGCTCGGACCCAGCACCCGATCTACTTCGTTTGCCCGTCAGACCCAACATCACTGCCAGGCCATCAGGGTTTCCCAAAAGGAGGCAGGTATAGAAGTGGGACCCACCCGGATGAACCTAACTTATCCACCAGAGGTGGCGACACCCTTGACTCAATTGAGGTTCCGGGAAGAACCCCCCACACTCAAGATAACCATACCGTCCGTGCTCAGAGACAGGGATTGGTTTGCATAAGTGCCTACAAACCGTTGCCCTCACACTGCGGAAAGTTACGTTGCCCTTGAGTGTCCCCGTGAGCTACGGGTACTTGCCCGTTTTCACCTCCAGGAAAGGTTACTTCCAAAGTCGAGGATTTGCCCACTGAATGCTGGTCGCACACAACAAGCAGGCCGAAGCCCAAAGAACCACAGACACAGGTAGGTTAGAGAATATGATGCACTTCCATCTCTCCTAGAGCTAAACACCCCTCCATCCTGGATAAAGGAATGTCACTGGGACCCAATGCCCAGTCGTCCATGTCTGTGGCCTACTTGAAAATGCCGATACCAACACCGAGCATTTACCTCCCCTCTGGGGGCTAGGTATTTCACCTCCCAGGACGAGGCTACTTCCAAAGTCGAGGATATGCCTCACAAAATGTCAGTCGTACACAACAGGTAGGACTCAGTCACAACCACAAGCTACAGGCAGGTGAAAGATCTATGAACTTAATCAACACTAGCAGAGCTGAACACCCCACCACCCTGAATGGAGGGAATGTCACTGGGTACTCTCACTTTGGGTACAACCCAAAGAGGCTGGCTTGTCCAGTCGTCCATAGCTTGTGGTCTACCTGAAGTGCCGGTTCCAACACCGAGCAATTACCTCCCCTCTGGGAGAGCTAGGGTCCGCGTGGTCGCCCAGGCCACGAACCCACGCAAGCGTGGGCCCCCTGCGGTTGGATCTCTGGACAACCACGCCGCCATGTATGGAAGAAGGATAGCCTAATCAATGGCTATAAAACCAAATTGGCATATGTTTTAGATACCCATCTCTAAAAAGTGCCATCGAGTTTTGTCTAAAAAAAGGATTTGTGTCTAAAAACGAAAAACAAAGTCAAATTACAAATTCATTCACAAGGGAGTGTTGCGACAAATTAGCTTAAGTTTTTTTGGGTTTAGCCTCACTAATAGTTTTTAATCTTCTACAGACCCTAAGTAATTTTTTTTAGACGAGATACAAATAATAGGCCTATAGTTTTTTTACTTAATCCTACCTTTTATTCAGAGTTGATTATGTGTTTCAGAAATTCTCTCGGAAGACGTGTCAAATAACTATTTATTCACAAATATTGCAAATCAGATCAAGTATTTATAGAATATACTGCAAACCTTATTCCTCACAAGTGATTGCAGAAGGCCGAAATAATTTCCTCAAGGAGAATCTTTTTGTCAATTCTTTGACATGTTATATCTGTAAGAAGTTTATGTACCACAATTTAAGTTAGTGCATTTTTAAATATACATTTTACATATTAATGTATTGTACTTTATTTGCCATTGCCAATCCAAAGAAATGTGTAAGATTTTATGATCAGAGTGTCCACATAGCACACATTTTGTTTTTTAATATTTGAAAGCCATATAAAAAACCAGCCACGTTTGTCCAGTGTTAAAATTTTTAAAGGTTGGTTTTAAGTTCTTACATATTTTAGCAAAAAAAAAAAAAAGGACAGCATAATGTTTTCTTTTGAACTTACTAGGTTAAATTTAGTTTAACTTTTAGCTTTCTTTTAGTGTTAATAGTCTAAATGAATCACTTACTAAACAGCTGCTTGTTTGTTAAAAAAATTGAAAACAAGTTTGAGGTCGATTGGAGAGGTTACTAGGCCCTACATGAAAATTATCTTCGTTTTTAACTTATTTATGTTTGCTAAAATAAATGTGCAATATGACAAAAATATAGTTCATCACATGGTCAAAAAGTGTCTTTTCAACCCTAGCTCATTTTCCGACCTCGGCTTCGCCTTGTTCCTGAAACTTGAACTCGGGTCAATAAGAGTCACTTTACGCCCTAGTGATGAAATATATTATTTTATTTATAAACCTTAACTAAAGCTTTTTAGCAGCCTACAATAAATTGTCATACCCATAAAGAAGATAGAAAAACACATTATCTTAGTTGTGTTATAATTAAAATTAAAGGCGTCAATAAAGCAAACGCACTAGGGGGGCAGATGTACCAAGGGGGAAAAATAGTTATAACAAGTCAAAGGAGAATATTTTAAAATTTTATTTTGAGCCGGTAAATAATCATCATTATCCTTTAAGAAAATATCTTGCCCATGGGCGCCAGTATCTTGGGTGGGGGGAGGGTTGCAGTTATGAAGTATCTTTTTTAGGGTTCAGAGGAAAAGATCCTCTAAAAAGAAGTGTAAAACACTATTTTGGCTGTTTAAAAGGTAGAACTGTCTTCAAACACTTAGACTAATTTTTTTCTTGCTACAACCTGTTTAAAAACCTTAAAGAGCATAGTGGATTTTAAAATAAATTTAGTTTTTTTCAGAGAGGTAATGGCCAGGGCAATTTTCATTGCATATGCTTAAGTTATATAAACAGAGTATTTGTATTTTCTGCACATTTTGAATTTTTGTTGGAAATAAACTTGAGCTAAGTATTCAGCATACAGTTGTGATGGTTTATTCAGCGAATGAGAAGAGATAAGAAGATTGGAAGACTTCCTCGCTCTGATAGGTTTAAACCACTGATCACCTTAATCAGTCAACGGATTTTGAGTTAGAGAATTTGCAAACCTGACGGGCTCAGAGAAAAAAGGTTCGAACCATTGAAGCATTGGTAGTTCATGGTTGAGGTGCGAAATCAACACAGTTTGGAATTTAACCTGAATAGTAGTGTTTTTAACATGTGCGACAAAGTCGAGGAGTTGGTATGTGTGCAGCATACTTTGTGGCTTTGCGAGACAGAAAAGCGTTTGATGGGTGGATTTATGCAACAATCGCTAAAACCCGATTGAATTTGTTTCCATGCATTGTACACTTTTTTCTGTCTATATGGTCTTTGCGTAGTAGATTCCAAATAACAGGTTCCTGTTCATAAAGTACAAAAACTCTTATCGAAAATTCTATTATTCTATTCCATTTTTATTCCCAGAGACTATTACCACACAACTTATCCAATGCACTCCCAGCGGTCGGCTCAAAGACTGAACAGGATGTGAGATCAGTGCTTTGAGCTTCAGTCTCAAACCATTACGATTTAGAGGCTTTTGATGTTTATGATTTATGAGTTTTCTGCCTCTGGGCGGAAACGGCTCTGGCCTTAAGGAACCACCTCAAAAAGCTGCACAAGCCACTGATGAGCTGTTCTCACGACCCGTATCAATACAAGCCGCTGATCAAGTTCACTTCACAAGGAGACTCAATGAACATTGCGTCGTGTGGAGGAAGCTTTAAAAAAGCTTTAAGGTAAACTTTTATGAGGATATTAACCACACTGTAATATCATTAAATCTCATTTAGATGTTATATGAAAATCATCAATGTTATAAAAGGCATAGGCCTATATGGTTAATCTTCATTCTTACAAATATAGCTTACATAGGAGCCTCAAAGATTTTTGATCGGCTTTCCCCAGGTCGTTAGCGCCACCAATAACACACTGTACTAATTGGACCATAGCTACAAATTAGATCAAGTAAATGAGATTTAATTATTTCATCTTCAGGTTCTATTTTAATAAGTTATTAGAAGTGTTTATGATTTGCCATGTGTTGTGTGATCAAAAAGAAATATGGCTTAAAAGTGATTGTTTCTCTTTCTCTTTCTGTCAGGCTGTCCAGACTGAAAGGTACCCATTAAAGGTGTCAGATGGGGCTGTTTGTTACAGGTGACCCAACAATGGGCTGTGGCACCCTATCTTGGAGCCTGTGGCGTCGTATCTGTATCTGAGTATTGCGGCCCCTCATTAACATCAGTCTTCTCACAACTTGCATGGAAACAGCGCTCATCACTCGCTGTACAGCTGCTGACCTTTGCTTTCAATGCTACATTTGATAACAAAGCATTTGCTTTTTATTTTACCGACCTAACACCTGACAATTTCGCAGTTTCCGACAGTAACGAAATCCGACTGGTTGATTTGGACAACGTAATTGTTGTTGATAAGAATCCCTCAGGTTGGTTTGATTTTTTATACATTTAAGTATATGATAGTTTTAAGTTAAATTAAGAATACAATTTTTGAAAAAGTTTCATATAGCCTAATGATTCTTACAAATGGTTTAGAATAACTGCATAGTAATTCTTCATACTATATGCAGGTAGCTTGGTGCAGGAATTGTAAACCATTTTAAGTAAAATACAGTAATGCAGAGGCTAAAAAACAGCTCTACTTAACATCACTTTAGTTCGAAATTGTTTTTAACTGTAGGAAATGGAATGATTAAATTCAAACTGTTCGTTTTTTACTTTCTATGCATGGAGAAAGTACTGTATTGTTATTGTCAACATTTTCGATTTTTAGTTTGGGTGGAAATAACTATTTGGTGTCCCCCTGAACTTAAAAAAAGTGGTTTTCAAAGTGATGTCTTGTGGATGTATACAGAGCTACAAACTACACATGTAGACCGGTTTTCATTAAATTTGGTATGTGGGTACTAATCCTTGGTATCTCCAGGCTGTTTTCATTATTTTAATTTTTAATTTTTGTGGTAATTTTGGCTATAATCTATAAAATAACATAACAAATTTATTTGAACACAAGTGGCTTTAACTATTTAAGCCAAAATTTAGTATGTTTGGATTCTTTTAACCCCCCAAAAAATTGTACAACCCCCAGTTCTGTAAAAATTACTGTTCAAAAGTGATGACAACTTTTGTGTTTTTCCCAACTTTTGTGAAATAAATATTTAGAAAATGAAGTCCATGTACAGTACAATTTTTTGTCTCGGCATACCTTTATAAGCTGTTAAAATATGATACACTTAGGAACTAACGTAAAAAGTTACAAACATACTTCACGTTACATCCATTTGTAGTGATCATTTTCAGCATTATATACTTTGATGGTTGTAAATGTATGTTTTTGTATGATTTGTTTAGAGAAACCTTCAAACTGGGATAGTGTGCATACCAGCTATCACGATCAAGATATCCATGGGTTTGCTTTTTCAAAGGAGGAAATCTGTTCCCATAAAATCAGTGACACAAATGTTTACTCCATATGTCAGGTAAATGAACATTTCATTTTGTTTACATTATAGAAAAACCAATCTTGATATGTTTTTTCTGTAAGTTATTATAACTCAATGTAGAACTCCGCCATATGCGACCTCGGGATAGAAAATTCTTGGAACTTATGACCTAGTCCAACAGGCAGCCAGGTGGGGTCCATTTCTGCCCACCTTTCAGGTCCAAGTCTTGGAATGATTCACTTGTGTTATGTGTTTTTATCGTTTGAGTGTAGGCTATCTTGTTAGAAAAGGTTGTATAAGCTTAAATTTAAATGCTTTTATGATATTTCTTTAAGTTGCTGACACTTTTTCTACGCTGCTCTGACTAACGTTGGCTGAAAAATATAACTTTACCACACATAATTTTCAGATAAATTGTATAAAAAACCACCTATTGGCACATATTAAACCTCCATCGGTCGCACCTATTTTGCACTATATCTTTAGATACATATTTCCTTGTAAATATTTTTGAGTAAGCCAACTTTAGACATATATTTACCCCCCCCCCCCCTAATTTTTATTTATATAACAACTCTTGACCTAAAGATTTCTTACATATTTCACACCGTCCAAGTATTTCTCAATTAGTAAAAAAAGTTGTCAGACCAAACATTGTCTGTAAAATTGAACTCAAGGTTTTCTTTGCTCGTTAAAACAGTTTTATTTATTTATATACTTAATGGAATTACCTAATTTTTGTATCATATAACAGAGATATATCTATCACATAAAAACGAGACCGGTCCTGTTTTTACTTTACCGGTACATTACAAAATAAAAACTAGACCGGTCGCACTATATCTCTCAGATACAACGGAGCAAAACAAGGCATGTGTACACGGGACGACGCTAACAGGGATACTTAAAAAGGTGTGTGGAGGAGGGGAGGAAGCAGCACAGTGGCCAAGACAGGTTTTGGGATGAGAACATGAAAGTGGCGGGAATTTTTCATCTTGAGGTATCTAATAAATTAGGTGCGACCAGCGGAGAGTAAGCTAAAATGTTATCAATCTATATTGTTCCTACAATTCCTACAATCTCCACTTATCAGTAAATCTCATTTTGCAGGGAATTTTGTCTCCACATTCAGATTTACTTCCAAATGGTCTGCTGCACTCACCCCCACCTCATCTGTCAGGGTTGAAGACTCTTCTGGATGATTGCATTGCTCCCCCAGCAGAGTTGACAAGGTTTGACGTAGCTCAGGAGATTTTACAGTTTTTACAAAATGATTACAGTAATTGATTTACACACATTTTAAATGGTCAGATTGTATGAGATAAAAATACTATTGAATCGTTTCATTAAAACTATGATAAAAAGAATGATTTTCCTACAGTTTCCTTGTTTGAATCCATAGAAAGCATAGATTTGTTAAAAGGTGACAAAAAACATTTTTTATTACTGTATGTACGTACTTACAAGTATCTTGTAAAATTTCATAAAACCGGCGCAAGAGGTTTTAGGTTTGTTAGGGGCGCAAGGATTGGAATTCCCCCACAAGGTTGTTGAAGAGGGCGCAATCATCTCTCAGGCCCGTTGTGCACACATGCCAACTGTGGGTCTAGTAAGCATGCCTGTTGGTTTCTACTTTGTTTGAATGCTTTTTTTCTCCAGGAGCCACATTTTAGTTGCATATAACATTTGCATTTTTTATCATTTTTTTTATTTGCAAAGTCAATTATACCTCCCCCAGAAATAGTTCAATTTTTATCAGTGCTTTTGTACATATGTATTTGCCTGTTTTTGTAAAGAATTTTAAAAGACCATACCATTTAACAAGCACAGACATTTCAATTATGATAACAAATTTTATTTAAAAAAGTTGAGGCTCTTAAGAAGTGTTGCAGGGATTTTTACAGGGAATCAGTATAAAATATTTCAATCAACATTTTTCTTACAAAATGTATTTGTTTCCAACTTTTACATTACTTTCTGACATAGTAATATTTTCTTCTTCTTTATACTCTAACAGGTATAATTGAAATTATTTACACTTTACACATAAAAATATATATTATATTACTTCTTTATACTTTGTACATTCTACTTTGGTGTAGCTTTGGTATTGAAGGTAATGCTTGTAAAGTTTCCTTTACAATGTGAAAAGCCATATTGACTGGTTCATATTTTTTGTAAATTAATCTTTGAGAGAAGTAATAGTACTATATTTTGTACCTAGAGCCGAAAATGGGGTTTTGCCTGCTCGAGATAGTTTTTAATCGATTTTTTAAATCGATCGAGAGCTGCAAAACCATTTCGGTCCATGGTACGAACGCTATTTTTCACCACACTATACCCTATTACCACTATTCACCACTATAATAATGCACACTGATAGTCAACACAACTACAACTTTAAGGTTATGTGAAGAAATAATTTGAGGAATCAGCAAAAATAAAAATAAATAGTTGCTAGGCAACGGTGACAATAACACAATTGTATTGCAATGCTATGGATTTTGATTGTGTATTTAAAACGCATTCAAGTAAGCGGACAGCTGATTTTGCGGCCCCGGGCTGTAAAAACCTGCTCGGTCCCCAAATTACGATGACAGCTGGCATGGCCAGCAAAACGTAACTTTCAGCCACCAATTAACGTATGTAATACAGCCAAAAACATCATAGTGTGGTGAAAAAGACATTACAAACTTTACAATATTGACCATATTTAACATCTGTTTTGCCGAATTTCACATTTATTTCTTCAGCTATTCAGAATCAACAATGACCAAACACAATCACAAAATGGAATATTGAGAAGTGAAATGATACAAAGATTGGTTTGTTATAAATGTTTTAAACATTAAAAGCTGAGTTATTTTGAGTTTATTTGTGTAGAGATCCAGTATTCAAAACCTTTTTACAGTAAACACTTGCAAATCTGGCTCGCAGATAAGTGAAATAAGGACCTTTAAATGTGAATTACACCCTATTCCAATTGAAATGGTCCATACTATAGTGATTGTACACATCCCTTCTAGTATTCGTTTTACTTATATAGACTTAAAACGTAGAGACAGATGAAAAATTACTCTAAGACTGTACAAAAATTATTTTAAAACATTTAAATGATGCTGGTACTGTAATTTGAATGCTAATTGGTAAGGTGACAACAATTACTATACTATTGTAATTACAAAGTCTATCCTTGCGATAAAACTATTTACATCCAAACACATTCAACGTATATCTAAAATATATTTTAATATTACACATACACATGTATCACACTAAATAAATGCTATGTTGCATTTAGAGGTCAGTAATATCACAGTAACGACTTTAAATAGACTTATTGTAATAATATAAGAGTGAAAAATTTGAAACGACTACGAGAAAATAAGTCATTAATTCACAACAACACACAAGTCAAAACAGAATATGGTTGATACATTGAATTAACATAGTTTCTTTTTCTTACCTACAATAACATTAATTGTGATGTGAAATGTATAAACTTTCTAATTAATAACAGGTTTTAAGTTAAGTTTCACGACTTGATTACTTCTACATTGTCCCTCTTCTATTTTCTTGAAATCTCCTCCTTCTTCCAGATCCGCTACTGTTATTTATTGAGTTTTATGTAAAGTAGAACTCCAATCATCTGAGCTTCAACCATCAGAATTGCCGACTATCCAAATTGCTTACGGAAAGAATTTAAAATCACAGTAATTAGAATCTTTATCAAAGAAGGCAGAAGCTGTGATGGGGGCAAAATCTTAAACCTCTCTTGCAATTGTGTAAAAATTGTCATCATCTCCAACGTTTACAGAAACATTGTCATAGTTTTACGCGATCGTGGCAAAATCTTGAACATCTTACGTGGTTTTGTAGACATTATCATCATCTCCCGCTGTCACAGAAACAACGTGATCTTTTCTGTAACTGTGGCAAAATTTGATTATCTTCTTGGATCTTATAGACATCATATCAGTCTCCTGCGGTCTAGGAAAATATAATCGCCCTCTGCAATCGCAGCAAAAGCGTGAAAGTTTTGTTTAGAAAATCTTCGCAGACACGTTTTGCGTTAAGTAAAAGCTCCCCTAAACTGTCAAATACTGTACTGAAAAAAGAAAAAAAAAATTCTACGAACATTTTAATATCCAAATATAGTATAGTCGTACGGAAAAATTTATCTAGATGATTGCAGTTCTACTGTACTTGTAATTAGTCCTTTCTTTATGTATACTTTCTCATATTTGGTCTTCAATGATTAAACAGTCATAGTCTCAATTTTTATAATATCTAAAAATGTAAGCATATTCTTTTAGTGTTAGAAAAGAATAGAAACTATCTATGATGGTAACTTACTTGTTTGTTGCATTATTCCCCTTCTATGTTCCTTAATCATTCTAATTGAAGACAACAGGTTCAGTTCTTGTCATAAAATATACATCACAAATCCAGACTCATAGCATAACTTGCCTAAACAAGCTCATTTACTTGGCTATAAATATATCTTCTCTTTATTCCCTTCAACGTAGAGATTTATTTACAAATATTACATCATAAAAACAAATTCATTATACTTGTACTCTTATCCCTCTGATTTCCTCAAAATTCGTTTAGCACCTCATGAAGATCACATAAATAATGAGCAATTTACACTGTAATTTTATTTTGAATCGTAGTTTCAATCAGGCAATGTCTGTAAGTATTCCTTTGGCTCAGTTTGTAGAGGTTTCAGATAATTCTCTGCATCGAGGACCTCAATCGCAGTTTGAGGTGTTACAGGGAATGCCGGCGGTCGAGGAAGAGACAACTGCACACTTGATTGAGGTGTTTGTGCAGCTCTGTGCAGAACTTGCAGTATTTCCGCAAAGTTCGTCCTGTCTCTTGGTTCGGTTTTCCAACAACATCTCATTAGTTCACATATGTATGGCGGACAGTCTTCTGGGGGTATCAGCATGATACCTTGTAGAATCAGTCTTACCACCTGAGGAAAATTGACAAATGTTACAAAGTTAAAACCGCTAATATACAAAAATATATACAACAAATATTTATTTAAATACATTTGACATTCAAATTCATTGCTAGGTTAATCTCATAGTTGAGAAATAAACTGTAAGGTTTTTTTTATTCAGATTTCATTGACGGAATTGGACTTCCATTTATGCAGGATGTTTCTATGTTATTGGAGATCCTCCAATAACATAGACTGGAACATAACATAGACCTGGAAGACCAGGTTTAACCGATGATGATATCATCGGTTAAACCTGGTCTTCCTTTACTAAAGGACTATTTTCCTGGAGGACCAGGACTATTGGAAATGTGCTACCGGTACTTGATAATACTGTAACCAGGCTCTGGGCCAATTAATCTTTTTGGTAAGAAGATCTATATTTGAGGTTATTCTATATGAAAAGCTATAGGATTTAGCAACTGCGGCGTATTTAAAAACATTAAGCGACAAAACGAAGACTTACGGCTTAAGAACTGTACAAATCATATGAATTTGTATGAATCGAATACTCAAATATCAAATACTCAGACCCTACAAAATATTCTAAAATGTTTGGTACTTGTATTGCATACTAGAATATTACCTCTTCGTTGGAATGTCCAAAGTATGGTTGCTTTCCAAAACTGTATATCTCCCAGAGAACAACTCCATATGACCAAACGTCAGACTCAAGAGTGAATCTTCCGTAAATGACACTCTCTGGAGATATCCAACGAACTGGTAGAAGACGGGAACCCCCAATCTGGCGACAAAAGCATCTCTTAGCCACACAACACCAAGTGTTTGAAACGATTGATTTACAAAACAGTTTTCCATTAGAACACCTATTTGCAGTACTTATTGGTCGAAAGTCTAAACTGTATCAACTTCAATAATGCAACCTTGAAATAAAAAAGTTTACCAATTTGGAGAGGTGAGATATTTCATTTACTTGCCACTTGCCAATCTATGTTTACATTGAAACAATGTAGTAAATGAATTTAACGTTTACTATGAGAACGTTACAGTTAAATTATCTTGCAGTGTAATGTGTATATGGTGTTTATGCCTTGTATTAAAACCAAAGACTTTCTGCCAGAGCAAACCAAAAAGTATGAAATATTTTGCCACAATTTTCTGAAATGCTTAACCGCAACTACCAATACAAATTATATTTTGATATTCATCAAAGCTCTTTTAGAACAACTTTTGATATAGAGATCAGGGCCGATTTACCGAATAGGCACGGTAGGCAAGTGCCTAGGGCGCGAGGCAATAGACTATTTTGAGGGGCGCCAAAAACAAAAAAAAATTGAAAATATAAAAAATTGTGGCTGTAGTTTGCGGCCGTGTAGACATCGTAACTGTCTCCCTCGATTGCGGCAAGATGTTAATCATTTCCTGCGGTTGTATACATCATCATCGTCCATCTCCCGCGATCGCGGCAAAATTCTGACTATTTCCGGTGGACGTGTGGACATAATTATCGTCTTCCTTGATCGCGGCAATATATGAACACATCCTGCGGTCGTGAGGAGATTAGCACTGTCTACCGCGAATGAGGCAAAATTCTAATCTTTTCCCAGGGTCGTGTGGACATTATCATCGTCTTGCGTGATCACGGTAAAATTGTGATAATCCCTCACAGTCGTGAAGATATCATCGCCTCCCGCGGTTGAGTGGCATAGTAATGCTCTACCGCCATTGCGGCAAATGGTAATCATCTCCCGCGGTCGTTTTGAGATCATCATTGTCTTCTGCGAATGAGGCAAAATTCTGATCTTTCCCGTGGGGGGACATTTCCATCGTCTTATGCGATTGCGGTAAAATTCTGATCATTTCTCGCAGTCGTGTAGACATAATAATTGTAACTCCCGCCATCCTGTAGACATTGTAATAGTCTCCCGAGTTCGTGAAGACATCTTAACCCTTTGAGTGCCAACGTCCGGGGAACCGGACGTTTTTAAAACGAGCCAAAAGTGCCGACGTCCGGCCGACCGGACGTTTTTAGAACGAGCCAAAAGTGCCAACGTCCGGCTGACCGGACGTTTCGTAATGATCGAACAGCTGTCATAACAACCGAATGGATACTCGGATTCTTTTAACCCATATATTAACATTGAGTCGAAAGTTACTAGATGCGATACATCGATTTTCGTTGGTCGAAATATCGAAAGTTCGATTTTTACGAAATTTTAACCTAAAAATCGCCAGATCGCGCTCGGCATTTTTAGCGCGACCTTCGGGAAAAATCATCGGCATTTTTTGAGCGTTACTTTTATTTCTCGCCTGGCACTCTAAGGGTTAATCGGTCCCACTGTCATGTAGCCTAGACATCATAATCGTCTCCCTCGATCGTGAAGACATCGCGGTAAATTGACAATTCCAGGTTCAACACAAAATTCACACATAATTCTCGGATTTCCCGGTCAGTGGTCACCCTGTTATATATATATATTGCAAAGGGGTGCTACTATTATTTGTGCCTAGGGCGCTGACATAGTCAAAAACGGGCCTGATAGAGATACAAACCTAAAGTTATGCATCCATACCGTAGAACTCTATTTAGGAGTACGTAAGATGAGATATATATTGACAAGACACCATTTACAGAATGACGAGTAAGGGATTTATGGAACGTCTTGTAACAATTAATAATTAATTTTTTATTCACTGTACAGGGACGTGCGACACTCGTAGGCACTTGAGTAACATTGTGGGCTATTTGCTTGTCTCGTTAGTTATGCCTATGAGATCTGCGGAGACAGGTGCCTTCCCTCCACCAAGGTTTTAAGGGTGTTCTTTCCCTTAGTTACATCTGTGCAATAAAACATCTAAATGGTTTTTAGTTTACGACTAGGCAGAACTGACTTGAGAGAATGTAAAAGATTATGAGATATGTACCTTGTAGTAGTCGCACGTGTAGACGTCCCGACTCATGCCGAAGTCTGCAATCTTGACACGCAGGTTGTCACCCACCAGACAATTGCGACATGCGAGGTCTCTGTGGACAAACCTCTGCGCGGCCAGGTATGCCATCCCCTGCGCAATCTGCGTGGCGATGTTTAAAAGGCTGTCCTGCAATTGGTATTAGTTAGGTAAATAAATTTTGGAATACGTTGCAAAATTTTACAATGAATGCAAATATTAGGCCTATTTAGTAGTAAAACGAGGTTTATCAACGATAAAATGATTAAGAGGCCTAGTTTGAAAAAAAAACCAAAAAGCACAACCCTTACAATCCTAGAAACATTTGAGTTTTTGAAAATTAAATTTGGGGTTTAGTGCAACATTTTGAAATTATAGATCGATTAAGTCAAGTCCATATATGTGAGTTATGTCATTGACTTATAGATACTATTGTTGTGTCCAATATCGGAGTTTATGTGTTCACTTGCTGTTAGTATTTTTTTATTCAGTTTGGTTATATAAAAATCAACAAATTCGACTCTTGCAAGACCGAAGGATTTAGGACGTAAGGCCCCGTCATATTGCAAGTGACGAATCGCATTACTAAGATTAATAGCCTGAACTTAATCAAATATTGAAACGGTAATTCTATCTAGATAGATTAGTGCTTATATTGTAAAGTGGAAACAGCAGGATATTAAATTATGGGGCTAAACAATCCTCTCCCCACCAATTCAAAAAATGATTATACAATTGGGTCTAAAAACATCTTTGTATGTAAGTGATTTATTATTTGTTTCAACATCATTGGCGCTTTCCACTTTTTCCACCCTGGTCTTCTTACCAACATTAACCTGTTGTTAGATCATCCATGGACAATTACAATTTGCTGTTCATTGTTGTACCACTGTACCTTGTTGAGGCGAGGCAACTTGTTGTTGTCTGAAGGTCTGAACAGACGACCGTTGCTTCTTAACACTTCTGTCAGGTCTCCATGGGCCATGAACTCAAACACCATCCAGGGGCTCTTGTTGGGCTCTGAGATGAACAGTAAAAATGGAAATCAACTTTTGAAATAGTATATATCTTTCCAGCATTCCATACAGTAAGTAGCTAAGAAGCTATTTTCGATGACAGTTGATATCAAAGAAAATAACTGCTTTCCAAGCTCATAATCTGTACCAAAATTTACTATCTGGCACTTGTTCCAATTCCCGTCCTCGCCTTTGAAACACATAAAACTTGATCGTGCACAGAAAAACCGTAACTTTTGTTACTTGTAGTGAAATATATACTATTACGCTACACTATTTTGACGAACTTCCCATGCAAGGATTTAGTCCAGAAAACAGCTGTTTGCCGCCAGCTTAATCAAATGGGGTTTCATTGCGTACTACTGTACTGTAATGAGTTTTACCGGACACCAATCAGCTGATTATACTGTATTTGGGTGGCAATGAGTGTTTATAAACAAAAACATAACCTCTCTAGAGGTTATGACTAGTGATTGTTAGTCCTTTAGTCGGTGGTAATATATATGCATTTTTACGAATTTAGTAGTACGGTATGGCGTAAACTATCGTACGTAACTTGTCCAAAATGTGTATACCGGACTTTTATGGTAATCAATGGAATGAAAACACACGTCCGGTAAACACTTATTTTCAGGACTAGTTACGTAATATACTATTTCACCATTGACTATTATTTCACTTAAGAACTTTTTGTTTCAAAACATTTTTAAAGTTTGTATTGCAAAGTACTTTCTTTATAGATTGTATTATTTAACCAACTTATCATTACTCCTCAATGGCGATTTATTATTCTTTTGCTACCAGATGTGATGTTAGGAAGAGTCATGGGACTGCCTCCCTAACTTTGATAATTATTGATTTATACAGGGTGAATTTTAAATGAGTTCCCCCCCTACTTTTTTCTACATTTCTTAAGATATCATCTCCGGACCACGTCAGATCATTGTTTAGTAGTAAGTACTTCATTTTGACTGGGTATACATTTTTGGCCGCCATCTTGGATCCGCCATATTGGATACAAAATTTTTTTTTCAAATGTAAAGGTAGGGTTGTGACCCATTATTTCAAACTAGAATTTTATGCTGATTACAATGCCGCAATTAGTTTTTAAAAATCTTGATTCGTTCTAAAGTTATGAGGACTTTTATAACTTTATTTTTAGCGCATTTTAACATTGTGCATTTACAAACTAAGACCATAATCTCAAAATAGTGCTAGATAAAGATAAGTATACACCACCATTCATTTTTTCATATTTTCACTTGGTTATGACGGATGTAGTTTTTTCAGCCGCCATCTTGGATCCGCCATTTTGAAATGTGATCAATTAATTTAAATATGAAGGTGGTGTTGTGACCCATCATTTTGAGTTACTTTTTTATGCTGAACTCAATGGCGCAATCCGTTTTTCATTTGCATCTTTGGATTTTGAAATATTGAAATTTTAAATAAGAGTATTTTAATATTTCATCAAGAAAGCTTGATAACCAAAAACGGATTGCAGCATTGAGTCCAGTATAAAAAAGTAGTTCAAAATGATGGGTCACAACACCACCTTCATATTTAAATTAATGAACATAAGGAAACAAAAGTTCCTTATGTTTTATGTATAATATTGAAGCCCATGATTTTCCAAACAAAATGGTATATAGAACAGTAGAATTAACATTGTTTTAAGCTTCTCAGATCCGTTTTAATAAAACCTTGCAAATGCGCCAAAAATAGGCGGACATTAAGGCCTAAACTATGGACACGGAGGGTTAACTGTAATTTTTTTTAATTATGTATTAATTCACAGTAAATTTGTTTCCAAGTACCTACTTATAATTCTAATAATAATTCAAAATCATTAGAACTCTAAATTGTTAAATGAATTATAATTAATTGAAAACCAACAAACATTAAGTGCTTGGATACAACTGAACTTTTCCAAGTCTTCACATTTCCATTTGCAAATGAATGTTGCTCTTGCAGATGTTGAATCCACCATGAGCACAGATTAGGTGCTTGAATACCCAAGAGTTTGCCTACCTCTGAGCGCCACGCCTATGAGTGTGAGAATGTTGGGATGTTTGAAAGCACTCATAATCTCCACCTCTCTCATAAAGTCTTCTTCTGCTTCCCTGGTGGCTGACTCTTTCAGAACCTTGATAGCGACAGTTTCCACCAGTCCCTCACTACGCCATTCTCCTATGAAATAACATCATCTATGATTACACATTTCTCCACCTTATACACATTCTGTTGTCTTCTAATCCCATCTAATTTATAAAACCGGCCAGAAATTTTATTAAATTTTATAATCTTTGTAAAGCAATAATTGTGCAATCGAGGTCTTCTTACTATCTAACATCAACCGCTTGCTTGTTAGCATTATTGATTGCTTAATGACTTGTGAATTCTAAGTCCAAAACTAATTCCTCTCAGAATTGAAGCATCAACCTTCAGATTAAAATACGAGCACTTAAAACACTTCCATCCGAGAAGTATTGCCATCGCTCTCTTTCATGGCTTTCGTAACTCGACACCCATGTTTTTTAATTAGTTAACACAATAGTTCAGCTAAAAGTGAGAGAACTAAGTACCTATGATTGATTATAATTTTATACTGTTTGTATTCTTTAAATAATATTACAGAATAATTCGGTTCTTTTAGCGAATTTCCCATATAGGGAATAAGCTATTACCGTAGTACTCATGGTAAGACCTGGACGCGGGACCGATTTTTTTTTTCATTTTGAGGTCCCTAGAGGCCAAAAACACCATCCGTTCAAATTCATATATATATATATATTTATATATTTATATATTTATATATTTATATATATATATATATATATATATATATATGTGTCCGTTAGCACGATAACTCGAGCAAAAATGATCCAATTTTGATGAAATTTGGTACAAACGTGTAAACCTACGTTTATTCGAACGAGTTCGCGATCCAGCATGATCGGACCATGGGAACAGGGGTTTACGGGGGGTTTTATGGGGTAAAAATAGGTTTTTCCCATTTTTGACCCAAAAAACATAAAATTTAGCAATTTCTTTCCAAACCATTTTGTAGAGCTTAAAAAAACAAATAATTTAGTATATTGAAGCGTTATTATGCGCCTAATGGTTACGGAGAAAATGCCAAAAAATTGTAAATTTAAAATTCCCATGTTATTGTTATGGAGAATAAGTAAATTGTTGTAGTTTGCTTGTTTATGAACATATTTTGATCAAATTTGGAAAATGTTTTTATTTCTTACTAACTATTAATGTTTTACAAAAAAAACAGTTTTACCCTCCCTGATGCAGCAAACCTAAGTACTAGTTAAACTAATTCTATTTAAATAGAGAATAAATGTTATATTTTTAAGTAGACATTTCAGTGTAAATCCAATCAGTCAAATGGAAATTCGCTTAGTCTGCAGGTTTGCTGCGGCGGGGGTATTTTTTATAAATCAATAACAGTAAATTTTATGGAGGAATTACAATATTTGTCTAAATATAAAAGAAAATATTCTCTATGTTATTGCTTTTCCTACCACACCCTGGTTTTGGATTCATAATAGCAAAAAGTACGGTATCCGAACAGAGCCACATGAAGCAGCACTAATGCTGTCTATGAAGTTTGAAAGTTCTTTGAACAAAGTTTGGAAAAGTATTATTCATTGGACTTCAACTCAATAAATTGGGAATAACTTATTGTTTTTTTCTCTGAATTAATTTAAAGTCTTTCTGTTTAATGAAAGTGGAATATTGAGCTGGACACATCAATTCTATCTTGTATTCATAGTATAACTACTTCTAGCATAAGATGATATAATGACAAACCTTTGTACACTTTTCCAAAGCATCCTTCGCCAATCTCCTGATAGAAGGTGAGAGAGTCCCTTGGTAAGGTAGGGACAGAGAGGTTTGGAGAAACATCCCCCAGTGAACAAGGGGTGTATTGTGGGTTAGGAGTGTAATGCTCAGACGCTAACAGCCCTTTGCTCAGGTTCAATGGCATTGCCTGAAATCAGAATTTGATTGTATTATAGAAAACTGAAATCGCTGAGGTAAAAGGCTGTAGTACAGGTAAAATCTTGTCCTATGCAAAAGCACAGATTAAGGACTCTTATTTAATCTGTGGCGAAAGTAGAGGTTTCGATTATAATATACCACACTATGTACATACACTATATATTTACTAGTCAGTCAACAAGTTAATAAGTGATTAAGAAGCCAGTTATGTGCGAGTTATATTAAGTACCATCGGATGCCGAAAGCATTGGTGGTGCAAACTGAAACTACTTTTCGTTACTCTTCTCTGTGTTAGTGTGGAGCAGATTGCAATGTTTACATAATTTTCCTATAGTTCATCATAGATTTAAGTGGTTTTTGTGAGTCGTAAATACCGTCGTAGTGTTATGCTGGGGACATCAAAAGAAAAATGTAAATCGATTCCGGGCCCATGTCTACGGTATAGCTTATTCCCTATATCAGAAATTCACCAAAAAGTAAAATACTTACAGATTGTTGTTGCTTGCTACATTTATTGGACATTGCACAGCATTGTGACAGTTGGCGGCCCTTCCAGCAGCAAACCGCAGTGAATACTGCTAGTAAGAAGCACGACGCAGCTACACTCGCCAACAACACGCCTGCCTCTACTGTATTGGAGAGGCCGTTCGTCAGTGTGGTGTTGGACGTAGAGTTCAAGCCCAGGGGTGGGATGATGTTGTGGATTGGCCGAGGTGTTAGTGGCACTGTGAAAAATATAAATAAATTAAATAGCATTTAATTTTATTATAAATTTATTTTTATCATAATTCCTTTCTGAATTCAATGTATTTTTATATTGTTGTTGCTGAATGATCGGTGTAATGCCATGAAAAGACAACCTCCTGCTTAGATGGACAAAAGCTATTTACTAAGATATTTTGATGCTGTGAATTAATTTTAAGTTTGGCCCCAAGAGATTTTTAAAGCCAGGCTTACATCAATGTTAGCAACAAAATGATTGACGACACTGCTTGTTAAGGTATGGCTTAATCAACTAGTTGCAAACTCTGGTGTAAATGCCCAAACGTGGCTCTATACCATTAATCTGTATAAAAAAATGAGACGTTTGTTTAAGAGTCGGTTTTATTAAGATGTAACAACCATAGAACCATCAATTCAAATTTTCACTTAAGGTGTTGTACCTTCGCCATGAAAGTCAATGACATTTTGCTGTGGTAATATTTTTACTCGAGGCTCTGCTCAATGCTATCAATGATCTGATGTGATATAGGTGTTTAGAACTGAAATATTGATTGGTCGCAAAACAATAAAAACTGCACACTTTTTGGGGTTTTGCTGCTTCGAAAAAACTATACTATTCTACACAAATTCACACACCTAAATCAATTATAGGGAAACAATTTCCTATGTTTAAAAGTGATGCTGTATCTGATAAGAAATTCCTATTATAGCATATCACGATGTAAAGCGCGATCAATATTAAACTAATCTATTAATTGTATCAATACATCATCATTTTGACCTGATATTTCAAGCTATGAAACTGAGCCCACCAATCATTGTTCATGTGCTGTTTAAAGTTCCGCAAGCTTTCTTCACTTACCAGTCAGTCTGTTGGGGCAGCGCAGGTCATGTGTAGGAGGAGATGAGTCATGTGGGCAGATGCATTTGAACCTACTAGAGCCCACAGGCATACAAGCTGCTTCATTTCCACACAAGCCAGGCGAGCACTCCCCATCATGTATTCCTCCTGAAACACCATGATAACATTATTAACTTGAAACCTACTAGAGCCCACAGGCATACAAGCTGCTTCATTTCCAAACAAGTCATGTATATCCCTCTGCAAAAAAAAAAACAAAACAACAGTATAAAAATGAAATGTCTGGGTAGCTAGTGGTTGGAGCAAGGTACAACATACAAGGTTTACAATTGCAAGGTTTACATAGGTAACAAAGCTTCATAACACGTCTTACTTCATTCTGCAATCTTCCTTCACTCATGCGTTCCCTTCTCAATTGGAAAGTGTGTTAAAAAAAGGTGGGGAAATAGTTGTTGTACTGATTCCGTGGGTGAAAATAAAGAGAATGTTTACATAAATATTTTTTCTTTGGATTCTCTCTACCGATCTTGATGAAACTTGGTATGTATGTTAATCTAGAATAGATCCATATCAGATAAACGTGTTACCTTGATTCAATTTTAAATTTTTAAATGGCAGCCATTTTATTTTTTTTCAATTTGAATTATTAAAAAAGGCTAATTTTTTGAAAAAAAAATTTTTAAGAACACTTTTTTAAGTTAAATTCATTTCCTATAAAGCAACACTAAGATAAAATAAAAAATAACTGAACCATCACGATTTTTATTTGTAATATGACGTGGAATAAGGCTGAGCTAGTCAGGTTTGCCACATTGTGAACTAAAAATCGTCTTATTTCAGTAATTTTCATTAGATCTTTTTAACTTGTGTTGTTTGATAGGAAATGTTTATATGGCCGCCATTTTGATATTTTAAATTGAATCGAGTTAACATTTTTAACTAACATGGATCTCGTCTACCGTAACATGCATAGTTCAAGTTTCAGTTTCAGTTGCATCAAGTTTCATAAAGATCGGTAGAAACAATCCAAATGTGAAAAAGTTTTATTCTTAATCTTTTCTTTATTTTAACTCAAGGAATCACTACCCTAGTAAATTGTGTCCTACCTTTTTTTGAACACCCTGTATAAATATAATAACACAGAAGTTTGGGCGACTCTCCGTTAGTTAACATGCCCAGGGTTGGACTGTTTCCTTACAAAAAAAACATTAAAAATGCCAAATAGCGTAAAACAAAAACATACAAAATAAAACTTCATAACATTAACAATCTTAACCATTCGTTGACTACACTCAATCGTGAGTTTTTAAAATTGTATTTTGATCCTTTACAATGTACAAATGCTTTGTTTGAGAAATATTTTTGATATGAAAACACGTTTAATGATATATTATGCCTATTTTAATTCAATACTGCATTATGGGATTAAATTTTGGGGATTCTCATCAAAAATAGAAAAGATTTTTAAAGTAAAAAAAAAAAAAAAATACTTAAGAATTATGACATTTGCTAAACGAAAACATTCATGTAGACAAATTTTTAAAGAACTTGATATAATGACTGTACCAAGTTTAATTATTTTTAAATCCTTATTAATGGTACAGTCAAATTTTGAAAACTTATGTGCGGAGAATTTTGACCATCAATATAACACCCCTTCAAAAAGAATTTTCAGTTTCCGATTCACCGATTAAAATTAATAGAAAAAACACCAAAATATATGGGAAAGAAATTTGTTAATAAACTGCAACCAAAATATAAAGATTTAATAAACAAAACTTCTTTTAAAAGTATATTAACAATATAACAAGTATATAACAAAATATATTACAGTATTTACGAATTTTTGAATGATGGAAATTTTTTAAATTAGTAGCCTAAATATTATGTTTTATAAAATAACCCAAATAATTATTTCTAAGAATCATTGTTTATTTTTAGTATTTTAGGTACTTATTATGATATACCGGTATGATTATATTGACAATGTCACCTGTTTTTGTAGCTTATGCTATGTAATCTGTAAAACAATAAAGATATATTTATTTATTTGTACATTTTCAACCATGGCTGTGTTTTTAGACTTTTTTTACAGTAAAATAACTTTTGCAAAACATGAATTCTTTGTACATCCGCCATGGTTGAAGTAGGTTTCAGTACAAAGAGAATTCTCAAGACATATCAAAGAGACCAGTCGAGTGTAAACTAATCTTTAATTAAATAAACCCAAAATTAAACTAACAATTATTTTTCTTCGCCTCACGATTAAGCAGAAAACATTTATCAGATTCGCTCTCCAGTATTAGCGCTGATTTCTCGATCACAATTGGTTGTTTAAACTATGAGCTTCCTGTTACTAAACTAACGAACATAACATAATACCTAAGGGAGTATGTTTTATCTATGATAATACGTAATGGCTGCCGTCGCCGGTTTTATTGATTTACTTGACGTAAAAACCCTACTTAAATCTCCATCTAACATAACCTGACAACATAACAATGACTGGTTACCATCTTAACGTGATAATTCAGTTACTATTGTTCTAAAGGAAAGATGAAGATGTAAAAAACACTGAAGATGAGAGTGGGTGATGTGTGGGTTTCATTTGAGTGTTTCTTTGAAACAATAGGGACGGGAGCGGTTCAAACCCTTCTCCTTACCAAAACAAACACAGAAACAACGGGAGGTCCACATGTGCTTCCACCTGGACAGAGATGCTCTCTGACGGCGTTTAATAAAGTTATTTGTGTTTAAATATTAATTTAACAACTATTATTAGTTTTTATAAACATGTAGTTGTAAACACTGTTTACACATTATAGTTTTCATAAGAGTCCGCGCCGTTTCGCGTTTGATGCCCTTTATTTCCACGCACCACTATCGGAACGTTCCTCAATGGAACTTTCATCGACCGTCAAAAAATGATGTGTGTACAACTTTTGGATAGGTAATGAAGTGATATCTCATCAATATATGAACTAGCTGTGGACATTTTAAATTTGAATTAGCTATTTGTGTATTAAGAGTGCAAGTACGTCATTGCCACTAGATGACTACAGTTCTCTACTGCTTACTATACAGTTCTTACCGTTTGCTTAGCTGATTGCTAGCGCGGTAATGATTGTTCTTGTCATAGACTTAAGATTTTTTCCAATACCATAACTAACTTATCAACACACCGATTAACTTTTTAGTTGTAGACTATATAAAATGTCATTTCAGTTATTAGTTTTTTAGGTTATGTTGTTTTTGAACATAATTGATCCACGGCTGTGGTTGGCGACAACTGCGAAATCAGTGCTGGATTAGCGAGCGAGAATGATACATTCCCGCTCTAGAGCGTAAATGAGCTATTTTGTGTACTGTTTACAGATTTGGACAGATGATAATTTCCATGCAGTGGTAGGAAAAGAAAATAGTTAAATTAATGAGCCACTCACAGAGTGTATGGTACAACAATTTACAATTTTTTTTTTTGCTATCTCATTCTTTGCTATTGTGATTATGATAGTTGGTTTGACATGAAAGCAGCTATTATGCCTACAATAAGTAATCGTATCAGTTCGAGTTGGTTAAAATATTTCGTATTTGACAGAATTTGGAAATTAGCGCACTCTGTATTTGAATTGGAAATGTAAGACAGGGCCATGAGTCTCAATAAAGAAGGATATCTATGTATTTCACTTATACTTTAAAACGTTATACATTTTTTACATGGAAATGGAATATTAGTTCTACCCGTCAAAGACAAAACCGGTAACTAAGCCGACCAAAGTTTAGAGAACTTTGTAAACAAATCCTACACCAATTTCTGGTGTAAATACGACAATCGACGTTACTTTAAAAAAAACATCCAGTATTGGTTAACTGCCATTCATGAATCAGTCGCCGTTTGTCTCGGCACAATTTGTTTCCGGCCTATTGAAAAGAGGATTCAGTGAGATTCTGCGATGTGAAATAATTTTGCAATATATGGGTGAATTAAATTTGCAATTTAATCTCAACTGTTTCAACTGACATGAAAATCTGAAACCCCAACCAAAGTCTAGTAATAGTTAGTTTAATTGTTGAGGTTTGAAAAAGAGTAAAGTTTTGCAATAGAAGTGTGGTGAAGTTCTCCTTCATTTATTTCAGTTAGGATTTATACCGCTCATTTGTTTAGGTAGTCTAATTTTCTGATGTGAGTTGAAGTGGAAAATTAACTATATTGTGTTGAATGACCTAGGCTCACACTAGTTACACTTTGGTCCCTTTAGTTTATACAATTCTGGAATCTAGGTTACAGTGCATTGTTTATTGTATACAGTATATTTTTTATTCGATAGGGGTTTCTTCCATAGTTAAATATTCAGCCTTAAAATTTATTAATTTATAGTGGTATAATGGCCACTATAACGAAGTTACTTGTTTTTGATTCTATTATTGTTATGTAATTACAAAACTTGTTGTTCCCTTGTTGATTGTTATATTGTTTTTGATTGTGATATTGATATATTTTTATATAAGTCATTTTTTTCTGTTCTTTCTTCATCTATGAGATGTATTAATCCTGAATTGTAAAGTTTTGCCATCATTGTGTGAACATGTAAAATGGAGTTTTCCGTAAATAAATAAATAAAACCAATTATATAATAACTTTATCTGTGAAACTTTCAAATCCACAAGTAATAAAATACACTGCAGTAATAGTCACTCTGGACTAAGCTAAATGCCAAATCCATCAACTCAAATTCCAATAGTATGAAAAATATTAAAATTATTTTATATGCTGAATTAGGTTTGTCTAGGAGTATGACGTCACTACATAACCAATTACAATGAATTTTATATGAATTGAAATATGTAAATTAAACCAGTAGTTTTCCAGTTGTAGGCAACATTTAGCTTTTTGTAAGGAGTGTGGCGATGACTTAGTGTTGGGGCCGTCGACTCCCCTCACTTCTCACTTCTGTGATATTGCTTTGTCATGTTTAATAATATTTTATGGTTATCTTGTTGTTGCTCTTGTTAAATTTTTAAAATATTCAGAGTTTATCGTACCTCTTGCACATTGTTCTTTTTTGTATATTTGTTGCTTTTGCATCCATAATATGTATATTTTTTTCAAAAATTGGGTTTGCTTATTGTTAGATTCTACTTCGTTT